ACGCCTCCGTTTGTGACGCTGCTTCTCGAACGCAGCTAATCCTCAGCACCACCGTGTGTTTACTCCATTTTAGCAAGGAAATGCAGGAAAGAAAAAAAAAATGAAGCTTTTTTCTGAGCAGAACAGTCTAAAGCGTAATTTAATACTGCAGTCAAAACTCTTTGTGTTCAACAATCAACTCCCAGCACAATCTCTTGAACGGAGCAGCTAATGCAGAACTGTTTTCTACAAATGCATCAGAGCTCCACGAAGCTACACCGCCACTGAAACACCTCGAAGACTTGGCAGATCTCCTGATGATGAGTCCACTGGATTGTGAATTTCCATTACACAGTAAGCTATTCACCCCACCGCTTCTACGTACACCTAAGTAGTACCTTTTAAGCTGGATATTCACTCCATCTCTTCTTTAAAAGATGAGTTTAGTTAAGGCATTTTTATCATCACTGTACGTTACAGAGGTAACTTCATGGCTTTTCATCATCGGGGATCTGGACCTATGCTGTCACAGACCGCCTGTGTAAGTTGTCTTTAAAAGGATTTTTACACTTGGTAAATTCATAATGGTGCTAAGAGTGTTCCTCTGTTTGTTTGAGGACACGTTGCTACAGCTTTTCAGACACAGCTACTTGAATAAAACGTTTTACCCAGAAAAAAAATGTTTTATTTTTTCCTAAATCCTATTTGTGTATTTCTACTCCAGGAAAGTTTAGGGCCTTGGTCACAATTCCTAGTACTGAAGTTTGTTTTTTTTTTTAATCCCTCTGTGTTTGTACAGAAGACTTCTACAAGCAGCTAAAATTAACTCAATAATTGTAACTGACCATTTTGGTCCATGGGGGGGTTGAAAACATCTGTATCTGTCTCGCGCTCTCCACAGCCTACCTCACAGGGATGTTGTGAGGCTTAAAGAATGCAGAAGTCTTTTGCTAATGCCTGTCAGAATATTCTGTCCTTTATCCAGTGACCCAGATGGTGACATCTAGCAAAGGTTTTTAGCCTACTGTAAGTTGGAAAGCTCTAATTTGTTCTCAAGATCCAGGACTGTGTAGCTAAAGCAGAGTCTGAGCTGTGTTGGATGCTCTGTTGCTGCTGCTGCTATCACAACAAGGTGTCTCACGTTATCCCTCAACACCAGGCTCTGTGCAAATCAAGCAACTGTCAAGTTCTGGTTTTCTTTTCCTCATCAGTGGATACAACTTTGCTTGCTAACAGTGCAACAAAGCAAGTCAGGCTCTTTTAACAATATAAGTAAGAAGAAAAAAACCCGAAACTCACTTGCATTCAATGCTTGTCAGTATTGTGGGATATTTTAAACAATAACATTACAACAAGGTAAACATTGAACAGATTTTTTTTTGACTCCTGCAGATGCTCTGCTCTGTTACAGCTCAATTTTGGCCAACAAGATACAATTTGCTCACCCTGGTGCACTCTAAAAATGAATAAGGTAGGCTTTTCTGTTAGCAGCCTTACTTTTTTCTGCAAGTGCCCCCAGTGAGCGACAGATGCTTTGAAACAGAGCAGGGCAGGATGTGAAGAGCTAACTGCAAAGCCCACTGGGCCTGGCTCTTGAGCTCAACATCTCATTAAGAGTAAACTTTTTCCCTTCCCAACTTCATAAGACAAAAACCGGTGCTAAATCCATAGAGAACATCCCTGTGGTAACTCACTGTTCTGCATGCAGTTTAATATCACAGCTGTGCTCATCTACACATCTTTTTTTTTTTTTTAGCTGAGATGGTTATTCCTCCTGGTCCAAGCTTTCTGGCAGGAGCCCTTCGGTGCCTGAGCTGCCACTGCTGCTGCTTGTGCTTCAGTCCCAAAGCCCGGGTCACCAGCCTCCTCGCCACCGCTGTGTCAGTTTGGGGTCTCTCTTTGCAGCCTGAAGGAGTTCTAGGTAAAAAGGGGGTGAAAAGGATTCAGTTGGAGCTTATTCAGTCTCGTGGCTACACCGCAGGACTGTGAGACAGAAGGGCTGAGTTCTATTTTCTTAGGTCTTTTACAGAAATAGCCCAGGAGTATGAGCAAATCATCGTACCCCCTGCAGAGTATTTTGCCTTTTCTTTTAGAAAGCTGTGCCTCCAAATTTGTACTTAAGATTTTTCAGGTAAGGTGCAATAATGCCAATTCAAAAGATATTTGGATATGTTGAAACTCCAGGCCACTTCTGCAGTGGTAGAGAGATTTGTTCCCCATGAGCTTTCAGGAACAGCTTCGTAACTCCTGGCAAAATTCAGCCAGTCCCATCTCTGAGAACAAAATGAAGGCACACAGTCCGACCAATTTATCCACAGAGAGAAAAGTCTGATCGCAATTTCAACTAATCAAAGACAACAGCCTAAATCCTCAGAAAGCAGCAACAGAAAAAAATATCTGCATTTAAAAAAAAATAATAGCTAAATGTATCAGATGCTTTTGGAAAGCCCTTTGGCCAGGAGTGACCAAGAACCTCCAGTTTCTGGTAAGCATCTGGCTTGCTACAGTTTCATCTTACAAGAAAGCAATATACCAAAACTCTACCAAGTCCAAAATAGTCTGCATTTGGCAATTATCTAATCATTTATCAGCAAGTGTTTGCAAATTTATTATCCAGTTAGCAATGTGGGCTTTGCTTGCTTTTTCAGATTTTTTATTAATAAAGGCAGCCCATCAGCAGCTTAAAGGAAAAGGGTCAGGCTCAGAGCATCCACAGCTTGGAAAATAAGCTCTTTTTTTTAAAAAAAAGAGACACTGTCAGCTAATTAAGAAAATTTGGAAGAAATTGCTATTGAAACTGAATACAAAGTTCCCCAGAAGGAGTTTATAACCTGATTCAGAAGCGTGGCAATAGGCTACAGCAAAGAGAATCAGGCAGTGAGCGTGAATGAAAGCAGATGAAGCGGAGAGTGTGAAAGCAAACCTAATTCTTTGGCATTTCATTCAAATCTAGCAGTCTTAAAAACTACAAAATCTAGCAGTCTTAAAAACTCAGGAACTTCTAACTGTGACAGTGTCCCTTTAAATCATTCATACTGAAATCTGTTTCAACTGCAATGTACTGGAGCACTAACAGCATAGTTGTATGTTCAGCAACGTCTCTACTGCTACAAGATTCATGGCATTTCTTTACTGTGGCAAGTATAACTGATTACAATATGATTTTAAAAGGCAATAAAACAAATAAACAATGTTAATGGCTAAGCTTAACAATTTTGTCTTCACCTGATACCGAATAAAATTATGCCAACCACAAAACGTAATTGCTATCAGTTTTGTCTATTTATTGTCTTTAATTGTGCAGAGTAAGAGGGCAGAAAAACTTACTGGGCAAGCCTATGGCATTTGACATGTTCACATTCACCTGTGCCTCCATTCATGCCTGCTGCAGTTATTTTGGCTGTCAGAGCAAAAACCAGCATTACTGACGCAGTAAGTTTTAACATCCCAGTGATAACAGGTTGGATGAAAATAGTGTAAGAATGCAGCAGCAGGCTGTTACTGAGAACTCTAACGCAACAGCTTGCTGGCCTGCCATTGCCAATAAAGCTATTAAAAAAATTTTTAAAGGAATATTGGTACTTAATAGGTATTTCCCCATTTAACTTGTCATCATGACACCACCCAGGATACAGAAGACAGGCAAAGAGAGAAACAAAAGTTAAAAATAGATCATCTTACTTGGTCGCTGAAGTGCCTTAATTTTAGACTGCCTTGTTGCATGGATCAGTGGTCGGATCTTTAAAGAAGGATAACGCCGCCCCAGGGCTTGAGATGCTTAAAAGAACAAAGATTAAAAGAACAAAGATTGCTCAGCTTAGCAGGCTAAATTGCGGTGGCTTTAATCATAACATAAAAATCAATACATGTTGTAACAACACTCCATACGTTGAGCTTCACCAGCTAGTGAGTTATCTCAAGACTCACACTAAAACAACTGAATTCAGCCTGATCACCTCAGGCTTACACCACACTTTCCTTGCACAGGAAGAGTCCCAAGAAAATAGAAAGAAATTTTAAAGACACCTCTGATGATTAGACTACAGCCCAAGAGCACAAGTGTTCAGACTCCATATGCTGCTGGATGGAAACTTCTCTTGGCATAGGCATGATCTGAGCTTGGAGCTTTTGCAACCCCAAAAAAGTCACTTTGCTAGGAGGCTTGGTGGCCAACCCCATGCCATTGTGCTCACAGGGTCCCCAAAAGGACACGAGCACCCTTTGCTGCACACGTGCAGGAATTTTGCCTAGCTTTGGCAGAAAAACTGACGTGGCAGAACAGAGTAAGCTCTAGCAATGCACCATACAAAAGGTGTCCTGCCTATTACCCAAGCCAATTAAAAACCTGCTGATCTTGCCAAGCAGAGTTTCCACACAGCACACAGTGATGCCAAGGCTTAAAAGCGTTTCAAGTTTGAGGTGTGCAGGAAGAAAGACACGATGAACCATCACTAATTCTGGCCCGAGCATGTGAAGCACCACTGCAAACTGCTGTGTCAGGACAGGCCCTAGTGCAAGAGCTGTGAAAACCCAGGGGCTCTGCAGGATCCTCAGCTGCAGCCAGGAGTGAGGGCACCCTTACCTGCAGACAGGCTGGAGAAGATTCCCAGGGCGTGCGTATCGTCGACCCACTGAATTTTGAAGCCACTCTCGCTAAAATGAAAAGACAATAGAAGAATATTCACTAATAGGGAAAATAAAAGCCACAGTAAAACTCATCATCCTCCTCAAGTTATGAAGATTACTTAGTATTGTCACCCATAGCCAGCTGGTGCTTGTCAAAAGCATTATATTCATTTTACAAGAAGGGAAAGGAAGGAACAGATGAAAATTAAATGTGTCCCTGTCAAGGCCACAGTCAGCTGCCCCCAAAAATGCTCTTCTTCCACCTAAAGAAGCTCTTGGCCAAAAATCAACCTCCATTTCAGGGAGCGTCTTGCAACACATAAATATTGTCATTTGCACAATGCTTTACAAACACTACCTGGTTGCTCAGTCACTTACAAGGAACAGCAAGTGATTTATAAACGTGGTTTACAAAGCTTAGGAGCAAGAGACCAAAGCAAAAAAAATCTAATAACGTGTCAGCGGAAAATGTGAGCTGGGGAGCAGGGACTTCAAAGATGTTTCCCCCAGCACAGGAAATACAAATACAATTGACTGCTCAAATTAGATCTGTCAATTTTCAGCTCAGTTTCACTGTCAGAGCAAGTGGAAAAAAAATATACGAGAGAAAACACACACAACAGACAGCAGCTTATTAAGAATGTAAATAACGCTGTTCGATTTAGAGGGACGCGTGGAGGTGAAGCGCTCACAGCTAATCCATCAGGTGTATCAGGAGGGAAGTGGCAGACAGGGAGATTGCACACACCACGCCTGAGCTCCACAGCAGAAGCAACACTAATTCAGAGCTGCACCGAGCACCATTTACCACTAAGACAGGGCTGAACTTTGCCCCGATCCTGCTGCTAATCCAATGTCACCCTCTCAGGCACAATACTGTTTGTTCCCTGTATTGACATAATAAATCTTATCTCCACCAGCAGGATTGGGCCCTTTTTTTTTTCCCAAACACTTATGTAAGCATGTAATTTCAACTCAGGCACTGGGATGCAATAGCAGAGAGGCTCCTACGAAGCACATGAAGGCTCCTCGCTGAAGCTGGAGCAGAAGGAATAAGCCTGCACGTAGGCAACAACATGCCTGACAAAGCCCTGAAGAACCAGGCGTGTTTTAAATCATGCATAAACTGCAGGAAAATGCCCTTTAAAGGACGGAGAGTGTAAGACGTGGCAGCATGAAGGCAAAACTAAAATTCAGTGTAGCATTAGCACTCTGCTGTGCATTCAAGTCTGGATACTGCTCACCTTACACCCCTCAGATGGGTACTTACTGGAAATCTGAGAAGACTTCTAAGATGTGCTCCGTTTTCAGCGATGGGGAGAAGTCGTAGATTTCAGTTACGTGTCCAAAATCCCCCTCGTTGAGCTGTGCATCTCCATAGCTGGAATAATCAAACCTGATCTTCTCGATGCTTATGTCCTTCACAGTTAAATGGCCCACAATCTGGGAATAAAAATGTATGAATAAATAAAAACGAAGTGGTTTATAAAAGCTGCATTTCTAAAAAAGCTCCCTAAGTGTAGGAACAGGCACAGGTAGCTGATCCTTTGAAGGCACATTATGGAAAACAAAGATCAGACCAGCACGGGACAAAGCTGCTTCTGCTACTACCACTCCTGCACTGCCTCAAGAAAGCAATTTGGTTCCCAATTTGGGCTAACCACTTCCCTGTGTTACGGGGAGAAGGTGGGAAATTATCACAACAAAGACATGAAAGACCAAGAGGCGTGTGGTGAAAGCAGGGAGGACTGCACAACCACCAGGGCAGCTGCGGCCGCTCTGCCACATTTTGCACATCGCCTTCGGTGCTTCTCAGCTCTGCCCTGGCTTAGTCCTGGTCCAGAAACACCCAAATGGTTCAAATGTGGGTGAAACGCTGCAAAAAAATGGACCAAGAGCTCATTTCCAAGAGCAGTCGGGCATCCACCAGAAAAGATTTCATTTCAAAGAGCAACCCTGCTGGGTCTTGCCTTGGTGCCTCCAAACCATCTCACAGACTGGTTGGGGTTGAAAGGGACCCTAAAAATAATCTAATTCCACCCCAAAGGCCACGCTCCTGCCAACAGCTTCAGCAAACACCTGTGAAGCCCCGGCACGAGCTCTGGCCTCCTGTTGTTGAGGGACAACTCCTGAGCCACCCTTCTTTTTTCAAACAATTCCCCGGGGCAAACGCTACCTCTTTCAGGAGCTCTGCAGAACAGTCGTCCTCGAGGCTGCTCTCCCGCCCCGGGGTGGCCGCGCTCTCCTCTTTATCACCTGCAGGCAGCCGCAGCTCGCGCCACAACGCGTTGGCCAAGCCTGAAGGCTCCTTGTCGTGCTCTGGCACCTCCACCCAGCGCTTCTGGTCGTCGTGGCCCGATGGCTTGGCACCACCCATGGGCTCAGGTGCAGCCAAGGACTCATCTTGGGCTCCGGGGGGCTCTGGTGCTGGCTCTGCTCCCCCTGAGCACCACCGGGGCACTCCTGAGGCTCAGACAAACTTTTGCCCAGCTCCGACGCGCCAGCACTCGACAAGTCCCTGCCCTGTTCTTCCAGTGGTGGCACATTTCCGCCGCTCTCCAGGCTCTTGGCATCAGCCACAGCTCTTATCTCGGTCGTTCAGCACCAGCGACGTTGCAGCAGGCTCTGCTGCAGGCAGGTCTGTGCAGGAGTCAGTGCCACGGCTTCCCGACAGGGAGGAATTTGTGCTGCTCTCCACCACTCCGGCACCCTGGCCCTTTTGGTCTGGAGCGTGGCACAGGGTCTTGCTACCTTCTGCTACGACAGCGTCGTCACGGCTCTGCTCTTGCTCTTCTGCTTCAGCTCGGTTTTCGTTGTGTATGGAAGGAAGGGAATCGGAACAGTCTTTATCCTGACTTTCCTGCCCAGAGAAATTATTATTTTCTAACAAGGGGACATCCGCACGGCACGGAGGATGGTCATCGTTTGCATCGTCGTTACTTTTTCCTGAAACACTCTCTTCTCCAGGGGTCTTGTTGCTTGTCAATAGCCAAGGAGACACCACTGGCTGCTGTGCTGGACTCAGGGCCACCTTCAGGCTTACCCAGCCCATCCTGGGTGTCCCCAGCTGCAGCCTCAGGGCAGATCTCCCCTTCTCGTGCCGCATCCACACCCGATTCGGTGCCAGCCGCCACCGAGCTCTCGTGCTCCCCCCATTCTGTCTTCTTGCGCATCGCTTTGGGGACGTATAGGGCTTTATCCGGCTTCTTTCGGGGCGGTCTTTTAATCCTGCCAGACCCCACGCAAGCTCGAGACGTGTCATCGTGCCTGTCCCCACCGTGCCGAGCCTGGCACCCCCCCTGCCACCGCCGCGGCCCCAGGGCTGGGGAGGTCGGTGAGGTCTCGGTGTGTTGGCGCTGGGGTTTTGGTCGCCGGTTTCACCAGGCAGCCTAGGAGCAAGAGAAGAGGCATGAGGAGCCCAAGTAAAAAGAGGAGAAAGCAGGAAAATGATCGGATCTGCACATAAAAGTCTGCAGACGGGGGAAAAAAAAGAGCTTCCACTTCCCTAGTGACCAAAAGATGCTATTAATAGGACACCCTCCTCTTTGCTGAGAAGCACCGTGCAAGTTTCAGGCGTCGAAGCTGGAATAAAAACCTCACGGCCAGAGAAATTGCTGTCACATCCACCGCCCAGTACCTTATGGCTGAGTGGCAGATGACCGTCCTCCTCCTCCATCCTTCTCCAACCGAAAAGCTGCTCAGCAAATCCACATTTTCCACGGTCCTGTGGATCAGGTACCGGAGGCGACTGGACAGAGGAGGGAACAGGAGCACCCTGGAAAAGACAGAGGGGTCGAGGGCATCAGCAGCTTGCAGGAAGAAAAAGGACAGGGATGCAGCAATAAATTTACTTAACTGTAATTTATTTTATAACTGCACTCTCTAACAAACATTTAAAAGTTATAAAATTAGTATTTAAGGTCATTACAAGCCAGTGGGATAGCTGAACTAAGAATTTCCTCCCCTGCTCCTTCCTGAACCCCTTTTTTGGGGGGACTTCTCAAGGGTTTCACAGGTCACTGGATCAGGAAGGAGACCCAGTTTAAAGCCAGCCTGGACGAAGAAAAATGACGCAGCAAACACAAGGCGACGAGGTCGCTGCTGAGGGAGGATCTGCTGCACAGGAAGCCCTCAGCAGAGCGGGGAACTGAACTATTTGATTACAAAACTATTAATTATAACTCCGCCAGGCTGACTACAGCGAGCCCAGCCAGACTGGGGCTGGTGTAAACGCCACCAGCGTCCAAAATAATTCTGCTCGAAGGCACCTTAAAGGCAAAGCAGGCAAGGCAGAAACTCCAAGCTGGCTCTTGTCCCATGGGAAGCCCCGAGCTCCACGTCCAGGCAGATCTTGCAGCTCCCAAAGGCTGCCACGCAAACCCAGCTGCTGCTTTCACAGCCCGGAGGAATGATTCAAAGCAGAAAGGTCTCGCAGCAAGCGAGACCCCAAGATGCCAAGCGCCCCTACCTGTGGTGCTGCCCCTGGAGCATGAAGTGCTCCAGCTCCTCCGCGATCCTGCCCACGAAGTCATCCTCGTTGGGCGAGAGGAAAACGCCATCCATGCAGCGCAGCGCCAGGGTGGCAGCGGATGGGAGGCCTGGGGAGGGACAGGGACGCATGGGGACCCCCTGCACCCACTGCCATTTCTGCGCACCCCCATACCATGTGCACCCCACCACACCCCAAACCTTCCCTCTGCACCCCCAGTACCCCAAACCTTCCCTCCACACCCCCCTGCACCCCAACCTTTCCCTCTGCACCCCCAGCACCCCACTACACCCAACCCCTTCCTCCACTCCCCCAGTGCCCCAAACCTTCCCTCCAGACCCCCAGCACCCAGTTACACCCCAAAACCTTCCCCCTGCACTCCCAGCACCCCAAACCTTCCCTCTAGAGCCCCAGGACCCTCCTATACCCCAAACCTTCCCTCCAGACCCTCAGCACCCAGCTAAACCCCAAACCTTCCCCCTGCACCCTCAGCACCCTAAACCTTCCCTCCACACCCCCTGTGCCCCAAACCTTCCCTCCATAGCCCCAGAGCCCCACTGCACCCCAAACCTTCCCTCTGGACCCCCAGCACCAGTTACACCCCAAATCTTCCCCCTGCACCCCCAGCTCCCCACTACTTCCCAAACCTTCCCTCTAGACCCCTAACACCCAATTATACCCTAAACCTTTCCTCCACACCCCCAGTGCCCCAAACCTTCCCTGCACACCCCCAGCACCCCGCTACTCCCCAAACCTTCCCCGCACGCCCCCGACCACCCCCCCTACCCCCTTCCCTTCACCCCCGGGCACCCCCATTCCCTCCCCACACCCCTTTTTTCCCCTCACACAGCCCAAAGGGGGGCTCCCCGGACCCCCGGCCGGGCCTCCCCGCGCCTCCCCTACCGCCAGGCCCGGCGACCGCCGCTTCCGGTGCGGCGCCTGCGCCCGGCCCCGGCCCCGGCTCCTCCCGCCGGGCAGCACCGCCCCCGGGCCCGGGGGGAGCGGGGCGGGGGCTCCGTGAGGGGAAAGGGGGGCCAAGGAAGCCCTTTAAGGCCCTAAAGGGGTTTAGGGGTCCAGTGTCCCGCTCCTGGGTGGGGAAACGGTGGAAATATGAGGGAATTGTGGAATATCCTGAGGTGGGAGGGGATCGCAAAGGTCGCCAAGTCCTAGTTCCACGCGGTTTTACCCCAAAGTTCAGAGTATACGGCTAAAGGCACAGCCCAAATGCTATTTAAAGTCCCACAGGCATGGTGCTGTGACTACATCCCCAGGAGCCTGTCCCAGTGTGTGACCACCCGCTCACTGAAAGACCTCTTCCAGCCTGAACCTCCCCGTCCCAGCCCCATGATGTTCCCTCAGGTCCTGTCACTGTCCCCAGAGGGAAAAGTTCAGCACCTGCCCCTCCGTTCCCCCCTCATGAGGAGGCGGTAGGTTGCCATGAGGCCTCTCCTCAGCCTCCTCTTTTCCAGGCTGAATAAAGTCACCTCAGCTGCTCCTCATATGTCCTCCCCTCTAGGTCCTTCGCCATCCTTGGAGCCCTAAGCCCAAACCCTGGCTCTACGTACGGAGTAGGGGATGAAAGGCTGGAGAGCAGCCCCACAGAGAGGGACCTGGGGGTTGTGGTTGACAGCAAGCTGAAGATGAGCCAGAAAAGATGTGATATTATTGGCCAGAGAAGGGCTATGAAGATGCGTAAATGTTAGGGAAACCATTTTCCGCAGGCAGCAGGAGGAAGGGTTTCAAGAACTGCTGCACAGAAGAGCAGCAAGGCTCTCCTTGGCCAGCTCAGGGCAGTATTTGGTGTCTCCCTGGGGTGTCATCGGCCCCCCAGGTCACTGAAAGCATCCCTGCTGCTCCGGGCAGGAGCAGAGAGGGGCACTGCCTGCTCCCTGCTGAGAAATCGCTGCTGGTCAGCATGGGAGAGAGGTGGATGAAAACGAAACACACAATTCGTTAGTGATATGCTCAAAGTAACTGATTTTCCTCATTTATTTGGGGGGAGCAGTAAAGAGCCACACCAGAGCTCCTGTAGATGCTCCACACCCCGTAACAGGCTTGCCTTGGCATCACAAAATCCTCCTCTCAGGGTTAATGTCTCCTCCTCTCCCCCTCAGCTGATTGCCCAGAATTACCATATAGATTGGCAAAGCCAGGCCTGTGATTGCACAAGAGGCTTCTGCCAGGCTCCTTCCAACACCCTGAGCTCCTCGTCCTGCCTCTCACCTGCAGCCTGCTCTGGCCTCTGCCTGATGAGGAGCAGCTGATGTTTGGAAGCAAAGCCAAGCAAGGCAGCAACATAAACCAGCATCCCCCCGTTCCCCATCCCTGCACTATCATCCCCTTCTCTGCTAAATCCATTCCTCCTAAACCTGAAAAAAATCACTTTGAGGACAGCAGCATCCCCTGCCCCACAATACCCACCCAGACAGGCTCCTGCAGCAACCGCAGCCACCACCTGCACGCTTAATTCCTGCCTGCCCCAGGCCTTTGCAATAAAATGTGCTTGATTTTGTGACTGCACAGAGCAGGACGGTGCCCTTTTCCCAGCCTCAGAGCATCCTTTCTAGCCCAGGTGGACACAAGCAGGGCGGCATGATTCCTAGCCTGGGATGCCGAGCCATGGATGCAGGGTGAGGTTTCCCCTTGCACCCCTCTGGTATTTACCCCCGAGCAGAGATGGACAACAGACCTTTCCTCCCCAAAACATGCTGGTCCATCTGCCCTGCACTTGCCTGAGCTCTCAGAGAAGGCTGCCAGCTGCTGTGCGTGCCTTCTCTCTGGGGTGCAGCCCCCAATTTCCATTTAAATTGAGATTTTTACATTCCTTCTCCCTTAGCCCCAATGTGCCCAGGTTTACTGAGTGCCTTTGGACACTTGAATTGCGTCTGATGGGACCTGGACACCTCTCCCTGGTTAATGATGTCTCTTTGCATATAATCAGGCACCAAATGAGATAATGTTGGGGCCCTGGTACCTCCACAGCAGCTGCTGCAGCAGCAAATTGGGGCACTCAGAGTACTGAAGTCACCAGTTGTTATCTTATCCTACAATCCAGCTTGCATTAGACTAGAGCACCTATTTATTCATTTTACTCCTACCTAGACTGCTCAGCAGTGACAGCCAGGCTCATCCTGACAGCCCCACAAGCACCCATTTCACAACCTGTCTGCAGGGCGAGCCAGCTCTGCTGCTCTCATCCCACCCATGGCAAAACCAGAGCTCCAAAAACCCAAATGACTTACCTGGGATTACAGGGCAGGACGGGAGCAGTGCTTACAACAGCACACAGAAGTCCTGACCCCCAGTTTCTGCTCCGGGACCAGCCCCGGGTAGGAATTCATTTCACCCACCTCTGAAATACAGCCAGGGATGTAGCAGCATGCTGCACAACCTCAGGGTGGAAGGAGGAGGATGCTTCCCAGCGGAACTGTGGGGCAAAATTCAGAGAAGCAGAAAGCAATCGGTGGAAAACCAAACAGGTCTGGGCTTCCAAGGACTGTCGGAGACACTAAATAAGAAGAGCTTCCCACCTCACCTCAAAGGGCTGTGTTCCAGGCCAGCAGATGACGTGAGAACAAGCAAGGTGATGACACATGGGAATAATTCAGGCTAGTAGTCTGGCTTTCTTCTCCGAGAAATGAGCCTTAGCTCACGTTCTGCCTCGGTGCCTCCTGTCCCTGTGTCACTGGACCCTGGTGCTTTTTCTCTTTTTCCCCTCGACCTGCAGCATCTCCTCTTTCCTCACTCCTGTCCCTCACAGCACTGCGCTTCGCTCCTGGTGCTAGCAAACCTCAGGAGCTGGAAAAGCACCGCAAGGCACAGCCCTGGTGGTGTGCAGCTATGAAAGGCTGAGTGATTGCAGAGGGAGAAGAGTTTCTGGATCAGGAGGTGCCCAATTTGCCCTCACCCAGGTGCGAGGCAGCACCAAAAACTGTGTTATCCCAGCTGACCTGAGACTTGCACAAGTCAGGTTTCCTAAGGCTGTGGTTGAGGTGCCAGAGGATGAGAAGCATCTGCTCTCTGCCCCATCTCCGTGGCAGCAAAATAAAGAAGCCCCTTCTGAAGCAAAGTTAGACAAAGCATGCTTTTTGCCAAACAAAGCCCAAGTCACACAACTTTTTGGAGCTGTTACCCATTTCCCCGATGTGCAGAGGCCTGTTCCACAGCCTGGAAGCTTTTGGTTTAGCTCAGTGTCACCACCTTGGATCTTCTGGTGCAGATGCCAGGAAGGAAACAGCCCTGGCACGTAGCAGGTGGAGTCAGAGGGAGCTGGGGCACTGCACCCTCGGTAGGAGAGAGCCCCAGCCGGCTGGAGCAGGGGATTGAGAGGAACAAGGGGTCTCCTGCAGCACTCCCAAACTCCACACTAGTTAAAAGCAGACAGTAACCATACAAAAAAGAAGCCCCACCTCTATCAGAGGTTCACATCACCGTCTCTGTTGTGTTTCTTTTGCAGGTTTACCCTGCAGCTCATCGTAGATACCCGAGGTACACTGAAGCACTAGATTTTCTCCAATCTCTTTACATAAAGTCATGGATTAAAGCCCAGCACCTCACGATAAGATGATCTTATTAAATTGTTCCAAAGCAGGGAGACCAGGACAGTACCTTCACTGGCTGGGTATTACATGTAGTCCCAAATAAAGCACAACACACGTGCTACAACCCAGCTTTTAGTGGAGAAATCACCGCGTGTCCTGCAGTAACGTCCACATGAAGTCATTCACGTTGGGCCTCCTAAAAAACACTAGACAACATCATCTGAGAACAATTCCTTCTGTAAGTTAGGCTGCCCTGTCCTCTCAGAGCTGAAAAGCCCCAAGACTGTCTCAGGTTTAGACCTTTGCTGCTATGCAGGGAACCAGCTACAAATGAAGCTGAGGTTTATCAGCACTTCCACAGAGAAATCCGAGCATCGACCTTGGAAGTACGGCAAGCTCTGCTCCCCTCCCACACCGATTATGCTGAAACTTGACGATAATTGGGCTCTATTTAATAATTACCGTTCCTCTATAATTATCACTTGCTGATTTTTCTCTTTGTTAATGTTTGCAGGGAGCGGGGGGGAGGCTCTTCTGCTGTGCCAGAGAGCTAAAGATGTCTCGGAGTCGAGGCGACACGGGTGTGCTGCTCGCTGCCGCAGTGTTTAAGCGAGCACCGATCAAAACACGCTCCCAAAATCACTCGTGTCACAGTCGACAGTGAAATGCTGGGGCTGCTCGCTTGCCATTTCTACCCCGAGCAAGCCAGACACAAGCTCCAAGGTGCACAGGAGAGGCTAATTAAAGAGTACAGGTGAGCAAGGAGCGCTTCTGAAGAAGCCATTATTATTGAAATGAGACAGCAAGGCAGGAAGGATCCTTAATGAAATGGGGGAGGAAGGGAATTAGAGGGAGAACAAAGTGAAAGGGGGCAGAAGCAGACTGTGAAAAGGAAGGGGGCATGACTGATGGAAGATGTGGCACAGGGATGAAGCCAAATCTGCAATGTTCTTGCTCCCAGTTTGTCCTCTCGAGGCTGAAGGGCTCAGACACCCTCGTTACCAAAGGCCCCCAGCAAATGGTCCAGTATCCTGGGGCTAAAACGTGCTCCTTGTTCATCCCAGACTGCCCTCAGCTGTACATGTCCCAGCTTAGAGAGAGGCTGGCCCTGCTTCAGGGGCCAGGGCAGACCTTTAGCAGGCAGAATCCTTTGCTAATGAGCAAATGCCCTGCAGGATGCTCCAAAGGAGCTGCTGCCAAGCACAGCCCCAGGGCTCCAGGAAAGGTGGCTGCTCGCTTGTCTGGCCTGCAGGATAACCTGCCTGAACAACAGGGAGGCAGTCAGAGGTGAGCCTAATCACCTCCCAGACAAATTTATCCCCGCAAGGCCACTGCCACCTTCTTGCACAGCCCCCCAGAAAAGTGTTTTTCCCCATCTATGCAGCTCAGCGCTGTTCCACCAAGCACAAGGCAGCACTACGGAGCGCTGAATTCAGCTTGTGCCCATGGAGCAGCCTCAGGCTGATGGCTTTTTGGGCACAGCCCCTCTCCCCACAAGCACAGCTGCAATTTTACTTCGTGGACTAAGTAGGAGAGGCTCAGCAGACCACAACAGCCCCTGCTTTGTCAGCTGAAGTCACAAGGAAGGTGGAATCCAAGCCCTTGCATTTCTGTCTTTTGCAGAAAGCATTTTCCCTTGGGTCAGCTGGAGAGAGCAGCCACACAGATTTCTCCTGGCCACCTGGGCTGGATCTGAAACTGCAAGTTACAAAAAAATATTTAAAATAAACAAATAATATATATATATATATGAATCCCTTAAGCCATCTGGAAAATCACTCTGGCTATTCAAAACTTTTTAAGGCAAACTCCTGCCCAGGATCCACGTTATCTTCAAAAATCCATAAAATAGGCAATAGCTGATCCATCTGAGACCCTGTTCCACCTCAGACCATTGCACCACCCTGCTCCCAAGCCTGTCTCAATCCATGGCATTGCTGGTGAAAGGTGTAATCTTCTCCAGCGAGACAGCCACTTCGTGCTCCACGTGCATCGCTGCAGGGCAGGTGCTGTGAGAGGAGAGCTGAGAAACCTTGTCGAAGGACACCTCATTGTATTCCAGCTGTGGAGCAGCATGGGGGAGAAGCTGGGGGGAGCTAAGGGTCACCATTTCCTTCTGATAGGTGCTGTCGTGGTGGTAGGAGACCAGCTCGTTGCTGAAGTTCACCGTCTCCACCGCGTTGCTGGGGCAAAGGTAGGCACAGCCCAAGAGGGTTGCGAAGGCTCTCCGAAAATCTGCGTTGAAGGCGTAGATGATGGGATTGAGGGAAGAGTTGGCCCAGCCAAACCAGGCAAAGATGCTGAAGACGGTCTCGCTGACGCAAGGCAGCTCTCCTGGCTCGTGGAGGTCGAGATCACAAAAGGGCACCATGCAGTTGAGCACGAAAAAAGGCAGCCAGCAGAAGACAAAGACACCCATGATGACGGAGAGGGTCTTGAGGACCTTGGTCTCCTTCTTGAAGGAGTTCTTCAGGGAGGCTCCGTGAGGGCAGTTGCTGCTGTGGCAGCTTTGGGCATGTTCCACGGCTCTCTCCAGGGAGGAGATCCTGCGGATCTGCCGCCGGGCAATGTGGAAGATGCGGGTGTACGTCACGATCATGATGGCAACGGGGATGTAGAAGCTAACAAGAGAAGATGAGATGGCATAAGTCCTGCTGAGGCTGGAATCACAGCTCTCCTCCTCCCTGGTGCTGTTCACACCCAGCTCCTGCTCCCCATGGAGCTCACGGTCCTTGTGCCACTTCAGCTGCACGGGGATGAAGGAAATCAAGAGGGAGAGCAGCCAAGCCACCGCGATCATGACGAAAGCCACGCGCTGTGTCATCCTCCTCTCGTAACGGAAGGGGCTGGAGATGGCCCAGTAGCGATCCACGCTGATGATGCACAAATGGAGGATGGAGGCCGTGGAGCACATGATATCAAAAGCCACCCAAACATCACAGAAAGCCCCGAAGGGCCAGAACCCCGCCACCTCGGTGGCAGCCTTCCAAGGCATCACCAGGACAGCCACGAAGAGGTCAGACACCGCCAAGGAGATCACAAAGAAGTTGGTGACCTTAGAGCGCAAGTGGCTGAACCTGACGACGGCCACGCACACCAGGGTGTTGCCCAGGAGCGTGGAGAGGATGAGAAGGAGAAGCAAGGCAGCTGTCACCCCGCGGAAGGACAACGTGGAGTTGCCTTCCTCCGCCCAGCTCTTCCTGCTCCTGGTGTCATTGATCACAGCCTCCCTTTCCGCGGAGGAATAAAAACCATCCATGGGCTTCCTGTTCCAGTCCTTTGAGGGATTTCACAGTTCAAGTCTCCATCAGCATCCGAAATGCTGTTTCTCCTGCTCTGCTGATGGCTCAGAAGCACCAACAATCCTCCCAGCTCTCACAGCCAGCCAGATGACCCAGCACAAGGAAAAGCACTTGAAGCTCTCACTCTTTTCCAAGCCTCCTGCTGACAGCGCGGCATTTAGTTTTTAATCTTGCCTCCCACCCCACTTTTCTTCCTTTGCAGCCCGCCGTTCACAAAGAGCTGGCACTCACCTCTGGCGGTTGAGCAAGCTGGGAGGGCTTTGCTGCAAAACCCTTCTCCCTCTCCTCTCTCAGAAGCTCTTCAGCTGTTGATGAGCTCTTGCCTGCTGCAGAATCCCAGTCAATCCCTTTTGTACTGGCCAGGCTGGGACTCGCTGCCAGGCACAAGAGGGAGTTGGGCTCTCGCTGCTCTTGCGGACGGATGCTCTCTGCTCTAAACCAGGCTGCTCTGCTCTTCCCTCTCCTGCTGATTGCCTCTGGATTCCACACAGGTGAGAGCTGGCTCTGCCCACACTGGGTCCCCTGCTCACCTCTGCAAGCTAAGAACAGGGCATGGGGGTCCATCAGCAGGCAAGGTAAGTTGCTTGGGAATTGGGGGTAAAAGAAACATTCAAGTGGGATTTGAGCTGCAAAAATTCCTTCAGGAGAAAAAGAAAACAACAAATAAAACAGAACAAAACAAAACGTCTGTATAAAACTAACTTTTTTTTTTTTCCTTCTGAAAGTATCAGACAAAGCAGTTTTCAGTCTTCTGGTAAAGGTTCCTTATAGGATCAAAGAGGGTACTGAACATTACTTTTTTTGAAAATCCTGAATAAATGAGAATACTTTCAGAAAAAGCGATATACGGTAGTTTCCCGTCCAAGCTCAGCATTCTTTCTTTAAATTTGATTCCTAAATAGCTCCATGTTAGCTACCACCTCAGCAATCAACTGTCAGCTGAAAACATTACCCTGAAAATCACGATGCCTTTCCAGCAGAGCCACTAACCCTGTCAGCTAATAGTGCTCATCCCCAAGAGGTCTGCTCGCCAACACTGAGGGGAGAAATGTTGTGGTATTCCGACCTACTAATAAATAATTTAGTCTTGGAAGCAAGCAGACCCCATCCCTCACTTTATAACTGAAAGCACTCTAAGCTAAAGGGCTCCCCTGATAAAGAAACCTCAGAAAACTCCTTCAAGGAGGCAGGTTTCCTCGAGAGCCAGCTCTGGAAGTTGCTTAAATGGGGCCTGCTTTTGAGAAACACTTTGCTAGTAAGCTGGCCAAGACACAAAAGGGCGGCAAAAGCTCTCCAAATCAAACTGGAAAAACAAAAAACAAACAAAAAAAAAAAAACAACTGAGGCAGCTCAGCGTTGATTCATTCATTGCATCGATAGCTGTGGTCGTGTATCACAAGGACCTCTGCCACTGCTGCCACTTCAGAAGAAAGCAGCAGCCAATCTATACAGCTTCAGCTCAGCAACACGGAGATTTAATTACCCTGACCCCATAACCCAGACTTTGCATAATCCCTGGCAGAGCAGGAACTGCCCAAGAACAACTTCGCAACAAGAGCGCAATTATCCTCTGGAAGATGCAGCACCGAGCAGCTTACTCCTAAAATAAACAGCACGCTTGCTCCGTGACAGGTTAAAGCAACTCGCTGCCTGCATGCCACAGAGTTTACTTCTGAAGGCTTTGTTTAATTAAGCCTCATTAGTTCCGCAGGCTTCCAGCGGGCTCCTGCCAAGTGCCTATGCCGAGCAAGGCAGCTAGATGGCACCAAGAGCCGGCTCACGGCTCAGCCTCGCTCGGCTCTTTTGTGGCAGGCCAGCTCCCTGCCTCCTGTCCAAAATTTCATCATTCAGAGGAAAAGGAGAGCCCTCGAGTTGCCCAGACACCCCAGGGCTCTGGCTGAGTCCCTGTCAGGTTTAATTCATGCATGGAGATGTGCCCCACCTGTGCCCCAAAGGGCGTTTATTTTTCTCACGTTCCCTACACAGGGCAGGAAGATTTTGGAGATGTAGGGTACAAGGTGCAGGCAGTGGGATGCTTTCACTGCTCCCCAAGGCAGGGGATCTGTCCTGCAGCGTTCGGTCACAGCAGAGGCTGGGCTGGGAGCTCACAGCTCTTAGGTCACACGTGCTAAGCCAGACGGCGTTCCAGGAAAGTATTCCTTGAGGTACAAGGAAGGCTTCCTCCTCCTCTTCCTCCTCCTCCTCAGGAGCTGAAAACCATTTAAAGAAAGTGCAAGTTGTGTGCAAGGGTGAAATTCTCAAACAGGCTGAGCTGGCAAGGGGAAGATGGGATGGGAAGGGATCCAAAACATTACCCAATTTCCGCCCATCTCAGCACATACCTACGGGGGAAAGGACTGTTAACTCCTCTGTCAGAGGCAAACAAAACACAAGCAGTTCGTCTGGTTCACAGCTCTCCTCCTCCTGCCTGCTCGATGCAATCTTCTCTACAAGGAAAACTCTTCTGCTGTGCTATATCCCTCAACAGCGACTACATTTCCTCGCATAAGCAGCTGCTATTTTTTTTTTTTCTGAGAATCAAGTTAAGCACTATTTTATACAGCACTCCAGGATGATAAGATCCCAGCTCAGTGGCAATTCAGCTTTAGGTTTTTATATTTAATTTCCTCACCCAGCAAGAAGTTGCCCTCTATTTCCCTCCCCTGCCGTCTCACCAAGATATATTTCCAATTTGCTATTCAGCCATCTTGATTACATCCCCCACTTTGCATCAAAGGGAGAAAATTACAAGCCACTTCAAATAAAGCAGCAGCTGCTCGGGTGTTAACTCTTCAACGCCTCTTCCAGCACGGCTGGCTCGGAATTACAGGAGGCTGCCTTATGCCTGCAGGAGTCTCTGCACTTTCTTTCACAAGGTGCAAGTTTTGAAAGGAGAGATCTGAGCCTTCCCGGAGCTGCGCTGTAGGCAGCACACAAGAAGCACAGGAGCAAGAAGCTTCCTTCCTGCAAAAAAAGAAGCGTGGCCCTCCAGGGCTGAGCATGCCAGCTTGGAGCAGACCTCTTGCTAGAGTAAACAGGCTCGACTGCCTGCGAATTCAAAGTTTATTTCACGTCTTAGTACCAGGAAAAATTTGTTTTGAGTAGTGCTTATGTGCCAGGTGACTTCATTGATTCATTGTCTTATGACAAAAGGGAAAAAATAGTATTGACGTGCTCAACCGTGCTGCTTAATCGTGATCAGAACAAGGAGTTGGACAAGCAACATCCCCTTCACACAAAAACAAGGGGGCAACCAAACTGACTCAGCAGTTTCTTACACGGCCACAGCAAGGCAGCTTTATGGATGCAGAAGGACGGCGATCGGTGGCACAGGGAAACAGAAGGAGGCACCACAAGAGACTCTGGTTCCTCCTCTCCCCTTTATTACATCTAGGCAGAAAACACAGTGGTTTTTCTCCTGTTTGTTTTACAAAGGAAAGGAATACAGAGCTTCAAGTCATTTCACATCATTCCATGTGCAGCCGGGGTAAACTGCTCGCTGGCCACAGCACACGATCTCTGGCAGCAGTCTGTACTCCCCAACCGAAGTGACAAAGCACCCTAGCTGACACCAGTAACTCCTTCCGTGGCGCTCTGGGGCTCAAGCTGGTTTGTCAGTAATAAACAGGGCACGGAAACTCCAGCCCCAGTTTTCTGTTCCCCCAAGCTGCCACGCACATGGCTCTAGGAGTAGAGTTTGGCACAGGATGAAGCCAGGAGATGAACGGTGACAGGAATACATTCTGAGGCAGGGAGAGGTGCAGAGAAGACTGGTTACAGATCAACACGTTGCTGCACAGACTCTGCGTGCAGAAAGCCCGTGCCCATTTCCCTTCCTAAAGGAATTTGTTTATTTGTGTTAGGTACCAGGCTTTCTGCTTTTTTTTTTTTTTAAGTGCATACACATAATAAAAAAGTGACCTGCAAAAGATGACGGTTTCACTTCCACTGGGTAAAGACAACCTCTAAAAACATCTTCAGTTGCTGTGCTTGGTGGCTTTTTGCTTTGTTTTTGCATTAGAAACACGCACAGGGTTTTGTTTGGGGGCTTTCTGGTAACCCACAATCTTGTGGGATTGCAACATCAAGACTGAAGGCGAAGATGAGACTGTTACATGAAACCGTCCACTCAGAAAGGGGAAAAAAAATATTTATCCCTTCCCCACCCACCCCAAATCACTCCACGTGAGACCTCAAAGCAGATCATCCTGATGCTGTTTTGCGAACAGGGAAGGTACAAAAATAGCAAACAGCTCAAACTCCAAGTAAGAGCAAGCAGAAAAATTTTTCTCCTAGTGACTGCAAACCTTTGTCACCAAGGGCAGCATAAGGAACTCCTTCATTGAAAATCTTTTGCAGGTCTCCCTTTTAAGGCCTTAGTGTCATTACAGAAAGAGGAATTATTTTTGTCTTGTGCTTGCGATTGCTGCCCCCTAGTGCAGCAACAAAATCTCCTACAATTTAACAGTTACAGTGTCTAGTTGTCCACAACCGTGCAAAATACAGACAGGGAGGGATAGAACTACCAACAGGTGCTTAAGCTCGTTGCAGATAAGTACTGTCCTTGACGTAAGGTATGTGCCAAGTGTTTTAAACAACCACACAAACAGCCAAATGTTGAGCAACTGCAATACTGCTGCAACTCAGATTCTCAACATCAGCCACAGCAAAGAAAAAAAAAAAAACAGCACTGTTATGGACATTGAAGAGTTTATCTTCACTGCGTTCCCAGAAGGGAAGACTCGATGTCACGGGTGACTTGGGATAACAAGTCAAATTGAGACCAGTGCAGATGTTGGCACAGAGATGACAAACACCAGCTGGGGCCAGTTCCAGAGTGGATTGTCATGGCAGGAGATCCTGTTGCTTAGCAAGGTGATATTCACGAAGAAGAGGGGACTACTACCCTTCCGTCCCAAAGTTTTAGTCATTAGTTAAGGAACCTTAAGACAACTTCTCAAACTGCGGCAACAGGATGCTGTTGGGTCTTTAGAGATTCAGTCCCAGAGCTGTTTTGGGTTCAGAGGAAGCAGAGGGAGTCTTTTGTGCCAAATCTATAAAGAAAATCGCAAGAGAAAGACGTCAGTTTTCATCAGTAAGAGGGACTGGATCAGTCAAGTCCACAACTAACAAACCATTTTGGAGGTTCTCAGTACTGCCAGTATTGCACTGCACTCCCTTGGAAACACATGATTATATTTCACAGAGGATGCTGAGCTGCCTTCTGCTCTGAAATTTGAGAGTATCAGCTGCCCAAAGAGGAAGAAAACTGTATGGACAGTGCTGCGTAATTGCTCTTTAACAGACTGCTGAAAGGAAAACTAAAGTTTCGTTACCCCCACCCTGTTAAAGACAGGAGTAGGGAAAACTCCATAAATTCTGATCACTCACTAAATCAATAAAAAGTAGTTTAGTGCTCAGTACAAGCAGACGTAACACCTATCACACAAGACACAGTAAACATTCCAGATACAGAAGAGCACCAACAAGAAGAAACTAACACAAGTTTAGTAAAACAAAGTCCAAGGACGAGATTCCTGATAGGGCCTTCAACTTTCCCTGTGACTCATGGCGGAATGTCCAGGTGCAATCTCTAGCAATGAGGGCAACTCTTTCAAGACTGAACCTGGAAGTCAAAGGCAATGTCACTGAGCTCCTGGCAGAGAAAGCAGGAGAGCTTGCCTCCGATTGCATAACTGGAAGTGGGAAAGATTCTGGCTCAGACTTCAGTTCTGCTTTCATTTTGCAAGGCTGTCATCGATCCTAGTAACAGCTAGCTAACATAGCCTGCTGACATCCATACCTCCATCACAAAGAGAGAGCTTTTCCAATTCAGCTTCGAGCTCAGCATCTGAAATGGCTGGATTCAGCACCTTCTGGGGAACAGGAGGCAGGTCTACGGGCTCCCTAGTCGAGTCCTGGAGGAGACTGTCCAGCTCCTTCTCAAGTTCCTCGGTATCCATCTCTGCCAAGTAAAGAAAACAGTCAGTTGCTAGCAAAAGCATGTACCATCTTCACAACAGACTGAAGTCTGAGTTTAACAGAGTTATTACTGCCCACCTCCCCCCTTCGTTACTCATAGTAATAATAAGGAACTCCCTGGACTTCTTCCAAGGGTGAAAATTCAGTCTTTATCTCAGAGAAAAGCTATTCCTCTAGACGCCTTTGTGCTGAGGCCTCTAAGGGTAAGAAAACATTTCAGCAGAGACAAACAAGCTGCAGCACCACACAGGCCAGAAGAAAAAGAACACCGCTTAGGAATAAAAAAAGGAAAAACAAAGCAGCAGCCACTCTAAAAATAAATTTACATCAACACTACACAACTCTGAGGTGAAATCCTCCAAGACTGCAGGGATTTGGAGGTGCACAAATGCTGATTCTCCCACAACCCACTGTCAGAGACTGTAACTCCTTGTCAGTCACCATTCCCTCTGAAAGCACTGGTAGCAACATCCTTGGTATTTTAGTAACAGCCTGTCCTCCCAGGACATATACAGGGAGGCAGCAGAGAAGGGATGGCAGCAAGACCACGAGCAGAGAATGAAAGCCCCCAAACATACCTAGACCATTGATTCCTGCTCCAGCCAGAGTCTGGGCTACTTCGTCTTGAGTATCACAAAGCTGAGGGGAAGAAACAACAACACAGTTTGATATAGAATACAAGCTCTTCTGTCTTACCGTAGCCAAAAGCAGAACTAGCAACCAATAAATAAATCAGAAGTTGCCTTAAAGGCAGCAGGCACTACATGACTGGTTGTAAAAGCAGTAACAGAGAGGATGATTTAGTAAGTGCTGCAAGACCAAGTGACATGCCTGAGGAAACAAACTTGAAACAGAAGAAAATCCTCCCAATTCTAGCTGCTTCATGTAAGTAACATGCTTACAGAGGCTTATGCTAGCAAAGGAAGGAAGCTATAGATCAACATCTCAGCTATGGAATGTTTAAGTACGTGGAGCTGAAGTTGCTGAAGAAGTAACCCTTTTCTGTCTTCTACACCAACTTACGCAGACAGATTGCTCTCTTCATCGCCATTAATTCAGAAAATTTCCATTTTCCTTCCTCAATTGCAGATGATTACAGGTTAGGCAGTTTAAGACCCTGTTTTATGCACGTAGGTGCATTCCAGCTTCCAAAAGCTGGACTTGTATTTCTTTTTAATACATCTCACTAAGTGTCTTCTAGGAAAGCTGTGTGCTTGCACAACATTGGTTACCAAAGAGCACATAAAGTGCGCAAGTTTAACGTAAGTTGTGACTATTAGGCAGCAGTAAATGCAATTATGTAAAACCAGACCCAGCTGGTTATTTGAATACTTCTGCTCGCTGACCTAAAAAAGATCGACTCTGTTTGCTCTGCTGACATACAGAACAGAAAGCAAGCAGCACCAGATGCCTCAGCATTAATATCGGGGCAAATCTGCTGTGCACATCTATGCACTGCTCGCTTATTTCTATGTGCTCTTATCTCAGTACCTCTTGTATTCGATCCACCAGGTTCTCCGCCTTCTCCACAGTAACATCCTTCATAGACAGTTTCAGAGCTCCCACGCCAGCCTGATAGGCATTAAACACCTTGAAGGGAGAGAAAGAAGCACACATTAACTAAAACAAAATAGGCAGCATAAACTCCTCTCAAGACCCACTATCCAAGCAGGATTTGCAGGGAAACATCAGCGCACACAAAGCAGAGCCACAGGCAGGTTTATTCGGAGCAATACCCAAATATCAGACTTGCTGTTTCCTAGAGCAGAGAATAGAATCTCACCAGCCCTCACACATGAGCTCTGAGGAGCAGGTAAAGCACAAAGGAGAAGCACGAGGCTAAGGTGAGAGGCACAAGACAATATTGACACTACCATCTGGTCAGTCTGGGAGGCGTATATGCGATCCAAGATCCCTTGCACTGCATCCAGCTTGGAATGAAGCTCTTCAATGCGCCTCTCTGTCCTCCGTTTCGACTTCAGACACCTCAGCGCCTGGAGACATTAGATACATAGACCTGGATCACAAACCAGGCAGCAGTCAAAGGAAGCATAAAAGAACAATCCCCACACTAGAAGGCAAGTGCACAGCTGGTTTTACACACTAGATGTTCCCATTTCTCTTCACCACATCACTCTGGTCAAATATATCCATACCTTCACCTTAAGGAGACCTTTGGCCTCAGAAAATAAACACATCTAAGTTTAACTAGACAATACCAGACCTGGTCGTTACCTGTAGTTACGGACCAGCTCTAAGACACTTAACTTGTAGTTCCTCCCCAGTAGAACAGCACTTACCAATTGCTTTTTGCCAGCTCTACAAGCACTCCGGGCATCTTCTTTACACCTGTACAGATGCAACAAGGAAAGAAAGATCATTTCTTTGCAAGCAGTAGTGTTTTTACAAACCGGCAGCCACCCTCACTACCTTGCTCTGATGTCCAAGTACCACTGCCTTTCAGATCCAGCCACCCTCAAGCCACTTTTGCTTTTCACAAGTAGCCCTTGAAGGCACGCCAGATCTTTGCAAAGCTTGCAACACCCACTCACTACATGTTGTTTTCAAGGAACAAAGACTAGGAAATCTGCCCTAGGGCATCACTGGAAATACCACGTTTACTAAGTGGGAAAGAATGACTTGCACTTGGAGGAGGCAGCTTCATCCTTAACTATGTCACAGGAGCACAAAGTTTTGTATCATACGGAAGTTCTGCCCGCCACCCGTCCCCAAATTACTTTTCTGCTTCCTGGGAAAGGGACTCCACCTTCTGTGACAGCAGCTGTTCGCTCTGCATCAACTGATACACCCCAATGTCCACATCATTCATCGGGGACACTTTGGCATGAAGACCTCGGGCAAACTTCACGATCTAAAGAAAAAAAAACAAACAAACAATACATGCTCAAGTTGCTTTGTCTCCAGAATTTGTGCCTGCACTAGAAATATTTTCATCCTAATGAAAGGAAAAGATGCTTTTATATCTGGTTGTGTTCAAGCCTTGTAACAGAGTTAAGGAGTCATGCCAGTCACCATTTAATTCGATATTAAACCAGGCAGGATCAAGCGATGTCAGCACGGAAACAGAAGGCCTCAGAGGAACACCCTGAAGATTTCAACCTGTCCTAGTGCTTTGAACAGCATACAACAACATTACACTTTCAAATACTTCAGTACTAAACCGTACAGTGCAGAATATTACAGGCAAACATGCCACCTCAGAGGAAAGAAAGCCTGTGTAGTTACTGGCAGCTGGGAAAACCCTTGCACCACCAATTCCAGTGGTGTGGAACAATTTTAGTTGGGCACCTGGGAACAGTCAACCTGAGAGGAGACAACTCCAATATCTGCCAAGTTGTTACCTCTCAGATTACATGGGTAATATTACATATGTCTGATGGTGGAAAGCAAGAACCCATCACACATTTATGATGTCGGAGTCCACAGAATTGACTCCTCCAAACAAAGAATGCCTACTTTTAGCCAATGAAGTATTCCTTCCAGCCAGGTGAAATGCAAGACAGGGATTATACCACCCAAAAGCAGTCACCTTTACCCTGTACCTTCTCTCCATTCTGTTCCAGGATTGTGACCCTCTTTTCCTTTTGCAGCTGCAGCAGCAACAAGTAGAACGTCCTTTCATCCGGACAAACACTGGCACAGAGGGAACGCAGCTCTGAGAGGGCAACAACAGGGTGAGAAGAAAGCGCAGAGTTCTGGTACAGGCGATAGACTTCCTCTGCCTTCTCCTGAAAGGAAAAAACAGGACTGTCTATTAGCCTACGCAGGACTTTTCCTTTTCTCATGGCCACTGCCAAGTCCACACCTGCTTCCGCCCACACATTTAAGTTGAAAAGTTGGACGCATCACGTTTGAGACTTTCAAAATGAGTTCGAAGTAATATTAAGAAGCAATCACAGAACTCCTAAAACACCATAGCTAGTGCAATACAAAATAATTTTCCACCACAACCGAAGCTACACTGCACAAGTTGTCTGTGCAAATACTACAGAACAACCTAACAACCATGCAGTAAGCAAGTCGGCCTCCTCACTTCTTGAAACTCCCCTCCCACCCAGTTTAAACCCCAAACTAACTTTTTAATCCACACTCTAACTGTACTCAGTGCCATTTTGCATCACTAGCAGAGGAAAGACAAAAGCTTTCCCCGTTCCAAGTGTGAGTTACAGTTCACAGAAGACTAGAGAACAACTCTTCCCATCAATTCCCAAATTCCATATCAAGGCTTGTGATTTTCCAGACACCTTTTTAAAGTTTTTCTCCTCTCCCATGCACACACCCTCTGAAAAGACTGCGGAATCCCTGCTGCAGAGGACAGGCACTGTATGCTGCCAGAGTAACTACAAATAAAGGAACACATCTAAGGAGTTCTCACATTTCTTCCAGTCTCTAAAGAGGCCACTTGCAGGCAACAGCAGCAAGTCCTGGTGCTAATTTTACCAGGCAATGAGTAGCACTGAGAAAGGGTCCCAAGGTCTCGGCTGGTCAGCACAGCAGCGCCCCGTTTAGACAGCAACAATGAGCTGCGTGAGTTCACAACGCAACCCACAGGTCTACCACCAACAATGTGCCAAAAAAAAAAAAAAAAGTGGGGTTGAGGGAATTTAACAGCAGCTCTAATCACGTCTGAAAAAGAAAATCGAAAGCAAACACTGAGAAGTGAAAGCAGCCTTTAATAAGGCCAGTTCAGCAGAGATGTGACACATCAGACTGACAGCCAGTGCCTTCTGCCACCCCTCTGCCTACTACAGAAGGGGCTCAGGCTGCAGGTTTCTCTCACACTACACTTGTACTAACTCCAACCTGAGGTGTGCAGCGGCATCACAGCGCGCTGCTTGGCTTCCTGGACTGCCCAGAAAGCCTGTGCTCACTGCTTGGAAGCCAACAACAAGGCTTCACATTCAACAAACATAAATAGAAACTATTTCTTATCCACACGTTATCCCAGCCATCTCTCTGCCCTCTACCTTTGTACTCCTTAGGTGTATAAAAGCCTGATGGTAGCCTTCTATTCAGTCCTGATCCCTCTTTGCTAGCACAAAATTCCTCATGGATTTTTCTAGAGATGCTTAATCTCAAGGAAACACTCAGCAACACTCACCTGAAGCAGCTCCACATAAATCAGGACCTCCTCTTCCTCGGGTACCTTACTGTCGCCCAGCACGCTCGAGAGAGTCCACTTCAGGGGCTTCAGGATGAAGACTCCCACGCCCCAGGAGATCCAGCTGCTGTCCACGCTGGCCATGAAGTCTGCCTCCCTCTGCATCTTGCCGCGCCTAGAGAAAAGGCACGGGCAGAACTGAGTACGGTCAACCTTAATCCCTTCCGCTGGCAGCACGGAAAAGTGGCAGCATGGAGAACTACGAATCAAAACATTGCTCTACGGGCTGTGCATCCAAAATCCCTAGTAGAGTTTTCTAACAGCTTCTAGCTAAAATTCGACACGTTACTGATGTGTCCAGAACTGATGAGGTGTGGAAGGCCACTTGCAAGTTTCAAAACTACTTCATCTGTGCATTAAATCGCAAACAAAGAAGTGAAACCTCTAGATGTGACAGCAGTTACAGTCCACACGTGCAGATTCAGCTAAACCGTGCTGGTTTTGAACATTTCCAGGGGACAGCACACACCATTTGCTGCCGGCTCTCCACAAGCACCGTTTCAGGGAACGTAACCCAATTTAACACAGAACTCCTTCCTGCACCCACGTCTTCCCAGCACAGCTTTTCCCTCACAGCTCCTGCTCTCCCCTACCTCCTGCAAGCCCCAAGGCACGTCATCCCTTGTGGGGCACAGCCCCGAGCTCCTGACCCCTGGCCCTGCTTTACCTCGCTCAGAGCTGCCTCCTCCCCCCTACACAACAACCCCACATTCCCTCACAACCTCTCTGCGCTCCCCTCTGCTTTGCAAAGCCGTGGCACGGCACAACGCTTCTTCGTGCTCTCCCCCACACCCAGTGCTCAGCACCTGTGGGCACAAACAGCACCAAACCTCGCCTCACATCTCCCCGTACCCCAGCATTTACCCAGCATCTTGCTGCACTCTCCCTGCCACGGATACAGCCGGCAGCTTTCAAGCTCCTCTCCTTCCAACACCAACCTCCTGAAGCAGCCCCAGCACCCCCCCAAACATCCCCAACACCCCTCTTCCTACGCACCCCACTACAGGCTCCCCACCACAGTGCTAAGTGCACCTCCAGGAGTGAGGCCCCCTTCTGTGCACCCCTATCATGCAGGGCTCCCCTCAAAATTATACACAGAGCCCCCCAGGCTGCCCTCTAGCCCCTCACTATTCCCTTGAACCCCATAACAGGGACAGGCAGGCTGTCCTACAGCCCCCCACTGTTCCCTTAAGCCCCATAACAGTGGGGCTGGCTGTCCTACAGCTCCCCAATACTCTCTTAAGCCCCATAATGGGGGGAGCAAGCTGTCCTACAGCCCCCCACTGTTCCCTAGTGCCATATAACAAGGGGACAGGCTTCCCTACAGTCCCCCACTACTCCCTACTGTTCCATAACAGAGGGGCAGGCTGTCCTACAGCTCTACAAGCCCATAATGGGAGGAGCAAGCTGTCCTACAGCCCCCCCACTACTCCCTACTGCCCCATAACAGGGGGACAGACTGCCCTACATCCCCCCACCGTTCCCTTAAGCCCTATAATGGGGAGCTGGCTGCCCTCCAGCCCCCCACTCCTCCCCTAAACCCCATAACAGCCGCGTGCATGCCTCAGATCCCCCCCCCACCCCCTCACAACCCACCTACGCCCCCTCCCCCCGCTCCCTGCCCCCCATCCCCCCCCAGGTACCTGAGCAGCTCCCTCAGCACCGTGCCGAGGCCCAGCGGGACGCTGCCCCTCCTCTCGAAGCCGTTCTGCAGCTCCCTCAGGCAGGTGCGCACCGCGCCGCGGCGCCGGCCGCGGGCCAGCACCAGGCCGACCCAGAAGGCCATCTTGCTGTCCCACTCGGTGCTGTTCACCTCGCGGCTCTGCTTGAAGGCCGAAAAGAGGAAAGCCATACGCTCGTCGTCCGTCTCCCACTCCGGGGGCAGGTCCCCGGCCGGGGCCGGCCCAGGGGGGGCCCTCCCCGGGCTGCACATCTACGCGAGCCCCCGGCTCCGCCGCGGCCTCCGCCCGGCCGGGACCCGCCTGGTTGCTAAGGAAACGCCGCGCGCATGCGCGCTGCCGCTCCGCCCCCCCCCTCCCCGCGCACGGGTACGGGCGTGCGCATGCGCGGTTGTCCCCCCCCGTCCGTCCCCTCACAGGGCATGGCGGCCATGTTGTTGGGGGAGGGGGGGGGGGAGAATTGGAGTTATGGAATTGTTAAGGTTGGAAAGTTCCAAAATTGTCTGGTCTAACTGTTGCTCTGTTGTCACTGACGCCTGCTAAACCGTGTTCCTAAAGCACCACGTACATTTCCTTGAATGCCACCAGGGGCGCCGATGCCATCGCTTCAGTCCCTGTGCATCGCATTTAATGTGTGACTGCTTTTTGGGGGATTCGCTTCAGCTCCTCCAAATGGCGCCTTTGGGGGCTATCACGCACTAAACCATGTCCCTAAAGCACTACATACATCTCCTTGAACACCCCCAGTGACAGTGATGCCACCACTTCCCTGTGCATCCCATTTAATATCTAACTGCTTTTGGGGGGATTTGCCTCAGCTCCTCCAAATGACACTTTTGGGGGGCTATCGCCTACTAAACCATGTCCCTAATCACCACATACATTTCCTTGAACATCCCCAGAAACAGTTACACCACCACCTCCCTATGCAACCCATTCCAATGCCTGACCACTCTTTGGGGGATTCGCCCGAATCATTTTGGGGGATTCATCTCCTCCAAATGGCACCCTTGGGGGGCTTGGTGTTGTTTTGGGGCTCGTCAGCACGTCCCAAGCCCTCGATAATAGCCATAAAGGGTTGTGCTGAGGCAGCTGAGGGTTTGGTGCGTGGTGGCTGAGCCAGCACCTCACAGCATCACCCCAAAACCAAGCTGGAACCCGCAGGGCGCTGCGTTGTTGTCGGCAGCCAGTTGTGTGGTCACTTCTGGAAAATTGTGCTGTACACGTTTAAACCCCCAAAACCGTGCCGGGCTGTGTCAGTGACGTAGCACGCCGCTGCGGTGAGCGCAGCCATCCCAGCACCTGGCCCCTCTGAACACACATCTGGTGCTTGGTGGTGGTTGCTGTGGGGTTTAAATGTACAAACAGCACGCACAAAGTGCTCCCAGCACAGCCCTGGCGGATGCTTGTAGCACACCACAGCTACCCCAGCCTGACCTTGCTGGGGCTGGTGAGAGGTTTGGTGGTGGCAGCACCGCTTTGCAGGTTCTCGGGTTGCATCTAGCATCAACAGAAGTTAGCTTTCCTGTCCTTTCACCTGATTTTTTTTTTTTCCTCCCTCCTGCTTCTCATGCATGATTTCCATTTCTCCTGGTTGCCCAGGAGCAGTAGCCTGGTATCATGCAAATATCAGGATGCAGGAGAAGGGAGGCATGGCACTCAGGGATTTCTTCATGCAAAGTCTGACGTTTTCAGAGCAAAGCTCGATGTTGCTAAAAGAAGGGGAGGCAAGCGCTGTTGCTTAAGCAGCGCTGCCAAGTTCTGGGTATTTCTATAGCTTCGCGTTCACCATATGTGCTATTTCTTGCCCACAGAAGAAGGCAACAGATCAGTTTTTTGGCAGAAGGTTGCTGCTCCCCTTCCTGCACTGAGCCCGGGTTTCTCAGGCTACAGAGGCTGCTGCTGCCATGGGGTGTCACACCAGGGACCCAGAGCTCCCTCCTGGTGTCCAGGGGCTGCAGAGGATGGCAGCAAGTGGGCTTTGGTGCCTGCAGAGCAGGGGAAAAACCAGGCAGTGTCTGGGAGCTTGGCATTAGGGTGCCTTGTCCCTTGTGGGTGCTGAGTAGCTGAGGGCATAACCAGCCATTGCACGACGGAGACAAAACCAAAACCACCTCCAGTGTGTGCACTTTACAGGCATCCCAGGTGTGTTTGGTGTCCTTGGGAGGCACAGAGGGAAGGATTGTTTTGGTTTGTGTGTGTGTAATTCCTTCCTCACCAGCTCTGAGTCAGCCCTGGTGGCATGTATGCCTGCAGTCCTCAGCTTAACCCTGTAGCCCCTGGGCTGCAGGAGCCACCCCGTGCCCCCAGGGATTATCCAGAAATCAGAGAGAAGTCAGTGCAGGGCTTTGCTCTGCCCTCGGAGATGCAGGATATGACTCTTGCTTTTCCTCATGTCACTGTTGGGAGGCCTCTGGAGCTGGGCAAAAGTCGTCCAGGCTCACAACCTCTCCTGGTTTCGTTTTTGCTGAGGTTGTTCCAAATTCATTAATGCAGCTCTCATTAACGCTGCGGTGAGCAAAGGGCACTGACATCGGTAAATAAAAGCCAGCGACGGCCTTTTTGGAGGGTTCACTTTGCTTTCTCCCCGTGGCCAGACCTAGATGCTGCAGGGGCAGCAGCAGGTCCCAGAGCAGCCTTTAAACAAAGCCCGATCCATGTTTTAAACCAGGAGATGACTCAGCAGAGGCAAGAGCCTATTTTTATCTTCTTTCAAGCTTTCTGTGTCAAGCTGAAATTCCACATTAATCCTTTCAGTGCTGGCCACAAAATAGCGTTGCCTTGTAAGCGCGAAGCCATTCATACCCAAGAACCCACAATCGCTGCAAACCTTTCTGCCAAAACCCAGCCTGGCTGTTCCCTGCAAAGGCCAATTTGGCTCATTTTGGCCACCAGCCACGTCCAGGAAGCTATACCACGGGATGTGAGCACGAGTCCTCTTCACAGGAACCGCACGGGGCTGTGCTTAAACACCTGGGAAAATCGGCCTTGAACCCGTGGTGCCAGCGACTGTTAGACTGGGGCATCATCACATGTTTGGCTGTAAAAAGAGCCAAGTGATGGTCCTAATCCTGCAGGATCCTGCCAGAAAATCCCTCCTGACCTGCAAATTCAGCTGTGAAAAAAAAAAAAAAAATGAACTAGAAATTATATATATAATATATGTATTTACTGGAGAATATTTTTATGTTTACTGGAGAATGTGTCTGGGTACTGTGAGATATTTGGGAAAGAGATTCAAGGCGTCATCAGTTAAAAATTTGCTTTTTAATGGTGCAAAGAGATGTAACCACTGCTGCTTGGTCCCTTCGTGGGGTCTCGGGCTTATGGGGTGACCCTGAGGGCTGAGCCTGGCCCCCTGAAGCGGGTGGCCACAGGTTTCTGTGGGGCACAGGCACGGTCTGGGGTTTGTGCCACCCTGCCTCCTCCCCATGGAGGTTTACCCTGGGATGGGACTCACTGGGGCTGAGCTGAAAGCTGGATTTTTTGCAGGATGGATCACTTCAAACCCCAAACTACCGAGCTCTGTGACATTTTTGAAGCAGGCAGATGCCTCAGTTGGGATGAGGAGCCTGAGCTGTTGCTCCTCGGGCTTTGAGCCCACAGCACTGCAACCACTCTGTCCCTGGCCCCCACCCCGCTGGGGCTTTCCCTCATCCCAAAGCTCCTTTTAAGTCCCGTTCTGAGAAAAGGAAAGGGAGGAGAGATGGGGAGGGCAGGGAAGGGGTAGATCTGAGTTCAGACCACAACTGCTGCATAAAATCTCCCTTTGGTTTCAGCCAAAGCTTGGCCGGGAAGGCAAAGTGTTTAACTCTTTCCCCTGCCCCACAGCTGCGTGCTCAAAGGCTGGGAAAGATGAGAGGAGAGAGGATGATGAAATCGCCCTGCTCATGGAGCATCTCCAAAACCCAAAAGATAAAGCAGGCAAAGGGAGTGGAAGCTGCTGCCACAGAGGGGATATGAGGCACTGGGGGTCTCGGTGGTTTGTCCGGGGTTTGAAATGTAAAACTTAATGCTGATGAATATATAAAATATATATATAATAAAAGAAAGTGAGGTTAACCACTAACCGTGGCCGATAAGACCAGGCTTCCCCAGAGGGCTGTTTATTACACGGCATCCTCTGCGGGCAATGAATTCCTGCTTCGGCCTCGCGCCTTCCCGCTCCCTGGCGGCGAGCCGAGATCCCTCCCCAAATTCTTGCACTCGTTATGTTTTCCCCTTGCAACAGAGCGGAGGAAGTGTATGTGTGTGTGTGGGGGGGAAATTTGGTAACCCAAAACCCTGCGGGGTGCCCCCACCTCGATGCATTTAACGTTCACCAGTTGCGGTGTGGCCTCCCCAGTTTTTGGGGGGGTTCGGAGGGAGCTGGTCAGGCTGGCGGCGATAAGGAGCGGGTGCACACCAGGAGGCCTGGTCCTGGGTGATAAATGCACACCCCTTTTGGCCCCTGCCTTGCAAATCAGCCTTAAATAGAAAAAGTCCGTGTGCCCGCTCCGTGCGCTGCAGTGGAAATTCTTGCTGGGCGGGCGGGTGACGTGTGTGCCGCGGCATCCTGCCTCCAGGAACATACAAATCCACACGCCAAGCATAAAGCCGCCTTTGTTCAGAGCTGTGCAAACTTTATTTTATAGAGAGGGAGGCTGAGACGGACGGACGAGAGCCGTGGCTGCCTGACAAGTGGTGGAGAGGGAGGTGTCGGGGTCTCGGTGCTGGGGGCTGCCCCCGCTGCAGGACGGGTCTGGGAGCAAGGGGAAAGGGATGGAGCAAGAGGGGAAGCGGCAGCAGCACCTGATTGTGCTCTGAGCCTCCACGAGGCAGACCCATAAACATCATCAGGATGGATTTTTGGTCCTTTCCCATCCCTCTGAACATGCAAAATATTGCAAGATTGTGAACCCGCATTTATTCCGACCTAACAGAAAAAAATCATCTGTCTGCTAAGGCGACTTGAGCTGATGTCAGTGGTATCCAGGGCAAAGAACACATGGATTTGGTTAAACAAAAGGCCCTGCATACTTTTGGGGCTTGTAATACAAGTACCCACCCAGGAAACAACCAGGAATTCATCTCCTTTAAATGACACTTCAGCTTAATTACTTTCGGCACGGACAGGTCCCGACTTCTGCTGGAGCAAAGCAGATTTCCATTGCGTAGCGCAGCTGCTCGCTGTGCCGTGAGGGTGACTGCCAAAGGGGGATGCTTCCCAAATACCCACAACCTGAGCGGGTCACCTCCAGCCCCACTGATCCATCGGGACCTGCTGAGCATCGCTGCCTTCCTCCAGGTCCCATCCGATGCCCCGCTCTCACCCAGTTTTCCCAATTCCCAGAGCTGCTTCCCCACCGAGCAGCCTTATTCACACCCTGCCGTCTTCTTCCAAGCTCTCACCTGCACTTGTTGTGCCTTGGGCAATGCTTAAAAAAAGGATCAGCCGCTCAAGAGTTACTCATCCCCAGCCTGGGTGAGTCAATTCCTAAGGAGAGAGCCTGCCCCGAGCCCTGAGCCCTCAATGCACGCTCACGGTATGGGTTAGCCCGGAGTTCAAGGCTGGCAAAAAATTAACAAGTCACGATGTTGCCATCTCAACCTGGTTTTGTTGGGGCAATTTTTCTCTCGCCCCATCCACACAGCTGCAGAAGAACCAATTGTGTAAAGGCAGAAAGTCCAAAGGTTTTCCCTATATTTGTTTGTTCCCTCCCCGCGGTGACGAGCTGGGATTTCCACGCTTAAATGGAGGGGGCCGCAGGATGGGAGCAGGCGCACTGAAAGTTCATGCAGACTTTTTTTTTTTCCCCCTGGGAGATAAAACCTGTGCCTTTGCTCACTTGAGGCTGGCACTGTGTGACGGGGGAAATGCAAACCGAAGGAGCACCACTCATCCCATCACCTCCATGCCATGCCCAGGGCCAAATCCTGCCTTGCCTGGGGCCAAACAGTGCCGTGCCCGGGGTCTGAGCCCAGCCCAGCCCAGTTAACAGGAAAAGGAGGACCAGAGCAAATATCAGTCCAATATTTGATGAGGATGTTCATCTAACAAATATAGACAAAGCGGAGACATTTAATGTGTTTTTTCCCTTTGTCTTCAACACCAGAGATGGGCTCTGGGACCCCAAATGCCCTAAATTGGAGGACCATGACTTCAGGAACGATAAACTCACAGTTAATCCCAAACTTGTGCACATCTGCTACTCCACCTAGATCCATACAAGTCCATGGGGCCTGATGGGATTCATCCCAGGGTACTCAGAGGGATGTCTAATGTCATTGTGGGACCTCTCTCCATTATTTTTCAATGATCCTGGGAATCCAGAGAGGTCCCAGCTGACTGGAAGCTGGCAAAAGTGCTCCCAGTTTGCAAGAAGGGCAGGAAGGAAGATCCTGGCAAGTCCAGGCCGGTCAGTCTCACTTTGGTAAAATTAAAGAGAAAATTTAAAAATTTAAAAAGTTTGACACCTCGCCAGCCGGGGTGTCCCCAAAGTGGCACCGAGTGGGGCTGCAGGAGCTGCTACCCCACGCTGGGAGCTCTCTGTGCTGCTGCTTTCACTTCTTCTCACCCAGAGCTCACGCAGGCGCAGTTTTTTTTCCGTGCTCTGATCCTCTCCATGCTTCTTTCATCTCCGTGCCAAAGCAGGGGGCTCAAACGCACCCCAAGCCCACCAAACACCTCGGTTATCTACACACAGATGTGCTGCTTGTCGAGCAGGCAGCACAAGCAGCAGCAGGCGTGCTTTATATCTCTTTTTACATTTTATTTTTCTCTCTCTTTTTTTTTTTTTTTACAACTCCCCTGGCTCGATGCAGTCCCAGCTGCAAGGTCACTTGAGCGTGTTCGCGGTGCTCCTCGCCAGCTTCCCATCCCCACCCCGTCCTCCTCCTCGCCAATATTCTGCTTTTACCATTCCTCCCAGCTGGGCACTGTGATATAACAGATATAAAACCCTCCCAGCTGGGCGCAGTGGTATAACAGAGATATAAAACTACCGGTGCCCAAAGGATGGAGAAGGGGCTGGAGGAGGGGGACACGGAGTGGGGGGCGCCTGGGGTCCCTGCCTTTCTTCATCCCGGAGAGGAGGAGGAGGAGGCTGAGGGGAGACCTCTACACCTTCCTCCCGAGGGCAGAGGTGCTGAGCTCCCCGGTGAGCAAGCGATAGGAGCCGAGGGAAGGGGGTGGATAGCAAAAAAAAAAAAAAGGGGCCGGCCCCGAGGGCGGGGGCAGCAAAGCAGCCGCGCCGAGCCGCGGCGCGCCAGAAGCGCTCGGGTCCCTCTGCGGGACACATGCTCTGATTTCATTATTTTATTATTATTTTTTCTTTTTTTAGGGTGGTCCTTTTGGGGCCCCGGGAGTCGTCTTCGAGGATTTTTTTTTTATATATGTGGTTTGGTTTTTTTTTTGGAGGGATGGTTGGCGAAGCCGCCCGCCGATCGTTCCCAAACCGCTCCGCTCCGCGCAGGATGCGCCCGGCGCTGCGCCCCCCGTGCCACCGGGGCTGCCTCCCCCTGCTGCTGGCGGTGTGTGGGGTCTCGGGGGGGGATCGAGGGGATTTAAGGGGATTTTTGGGGTGGTCCTGAGACCCTCGGATCTGTCTCCGTGGCATGCCCGGGCTTGCCGTGCCGTCGAGGGGCACGATCCTATAGCGCTTGGGTATAGGGGAAAATAGGGGGAGGGGGGAGATGGGAGGCGATTGGGGTGGTTTTGGGGGCTGCTCGGGGATGGTTTGTATGGGGGGGGGGGGTTGTGTGAATGGGGGGTGTCGGGTGGAGGGGCTGGGGGCTCACCTGGGGGTGGGAGTGATGGGGGAAGAGTTCCTTTAGGATCGGGGGTTCCCGGGGGTGTCGGGGGGTTAGGGGTAGGGGTTCAGCTGGGGCAGAGGCTATGGGGGGAGATGGGTTTAGGGGGGGTTACCCGGTCTGGGGGCTATGGGGGGAGATGGAGTTACAGGGGGGTTACCCGACCACTGCTGCTTTTGGGGTTTGCGGGGAACGGGGGCGCGTGGGGCTGAGGTTACGGGGCACGGAGCTGGGATGGGACGTGCCTGGGCTGGGGGGCTGCGGGCTGGGGGGCGACTTGGGGCTGGAGGCTCATCCTATGGGGGCAGGGATCCCTATGGCGAGCGCTGCCGGCGCTGGAGGGGATTTCCACGAGCGTCACTCCCAAGCCCTGTGTGCCATCGGCCTCGGGATCTGGCAATCACCGGGGACGTTTGGGTAGCATCGGGGTCCCGGGGACGCTCTGGGGCCAACACAAAGCGGGTCCTGAGCCCTCCTTTAGGGCAGAAAGGCCCAGTCATATTTCTGGGTGAACCAGGGTGTTGCTTCGAGCTCTGAAATTCCTAAGGGCTTGCCTCACGTGGTGGCTGTTGGCGTGCCGTCGGTGCAGCCGTGACGGCATCCAGGAGCTCCGATCCCTTTTGTAAATCATTTATGGGAACGAGGTGGGGCAGGTGAACTTCCTCTGCGTCTCCCAGCGCTCACACTTGCCTGGGAAAGTCGAGCCTTACCGAACCCGGCACCTCAGGGCCAGGTTTTAACAGCGTTTTTTTATTCTTTTACCTAAAACTAAGTTAAAAAAAAACAAAAAGAGGAGGGGGGACCGATGGGGATGGGAGCCTCACGTGATAATCACCCGATCCGGTGGCTGTGGTTCCTTCCTCTGTTCACCAATGCCTCTTGCATCATGCCTGGACCTGGGCCACGCTGCACGAGGAGGAGCGCTCAGGATTTCCAGGAGCTCAAACTCCTCTTGCGTAAAGCCCGGAGGGAAAAACCCCCGACCACGGGGTCTTTAGGGCCTCCCTTTCCCTTCCTGAGGGCTGGCACAGCTGTAATGCTCTTTGGAGGTCTGCTGAGGGTCGGGAGTTCATCTTGGGGTCTGTTTTGTGCCGTGATGGTTCGTTTTCCTTCCTTGGGATCACTTTTGGGGGAAAAACAGAACCCAAGGAAGGGTCAAGGACCTGGGGCTTCCCAGCGCTTTGCTCCCGACCTCCCCTTTTAGTGGGTATTAGGATTCCTGCCTGGCAATTCCTCTTCCCTGGGGCAACTTTGCTTTCCTTGGATGTTTACTGGGGGTGAGAACAACCCCTGAACACCGTTACCTCTGGCCCCAGGGGCTTTGTGGGGCTGATAGTTTAGAGACCTACCCAGGGCCCTGCAGCAGGGCAGCGCTAGGGGAAGGTGCTGGGGGCTGATAGCCTTATCGTGCCTGCGGGCAAGCTCTGGTTCATGAAAAGTGATGAAATCCTGCAGCTAAGGGGCCTTTCCCAACGGCAGACGGCGTTACGGTGCAGCCTGGCAGAGTTTGAGTGGGGAAAGAAGGTTTTTTTTCCCCCACGAGGACAGGCAGCGGGCCGGGCTGTGCAGTCCCCGTCCCTAAAACCTTCCAAGGCTGGGCTGGGTGAAGCCCTGCGGATTGCAGAGGGTGACTCGCTCGTGGCTGGAAGGTAGAAGCCAACTTTTTCGGGATAGAAAAATACTTTATAAACTTCCAAACCTTCCCAGCTCGAGCAGGCAGCAGCGGGAGATGGGGACCTGCACACGAAGCGTGCTGGAGCCTGTGCTCCTGCTCCCCATAGGGACATTTCATTTATCCCTGAGTGCATTTTGCGTTTATCCAATTTCCCATTTTACCAGTGGGATCACGGCGTGCCCGCTGTGGGATCCCAGCCCTTTTTCTTTTATCCCCTCTGATATTTTTTTTTTAAACCCTCCTCGAGCAGCCCGGTGAGGCGGCAAGCTGGAAAGCTCAAGGGCCGGTTCCCCGAAAGCGGGCGGCGCTCAGCCTTCGGAGCAGCACCTTTTGGGGCACCAGGGCTTGGTTCCTGTGGGGCCAGGCGTGGAGGTGACGTGGGGACCTGTCCTCTCAGCCTAGCTGAGCTGTGTCACCCCACGCCGAGCGCAGCCAGGCTCTGGGTCCTCACACAATGCTCACGCCCTTCCTTGCGCCCGAGCGAGGAATGCGAGGAGGAAGAGGAGGGGAGAAAGGGGGGGGGACCGGCTCTTTCGGCGGCAGCAGTGACTCATCGCCGTATTGTTTTAGCCTTTCAAGGCTGCTTCTGGCTCCTGGAAGAAATATGTGCTTAACAGGCAGGTTTCCAGCTCTGAGGATAGCAGGGGAAGGGCAAGGGGCCTCTGGGGCCACCGTGCGCGCCCCTGTGCCACCAGGGTGCATGGTGCCGAGGGGCACCGACCCCCCTGGGGACCTCAAAGCCCTGCTGGGGTGGGCGCTGCCCCCCTGAGCATCATCCCACGGGGCTCTGCAGGCACAGAAGGAGCTGAGCCAGTGGAAAAGTGGTGGTGAGCAGGCAGTGATAGGGCTGCCAGCTTCCCAACCCACCCCATGGTGCGGTAACGGTGGAACCGAGCAACCCGGGCGCACGGGTGCCTTCCTCCCCGCCTCTGCTCTCCCTCTTCTTCTTCTTCCTCCCCCCCGTGTGGCACCCTGCTGTTTTCTCTCGTCCCGTTGGCTCACGTGCTGAGAAATTGGGGAAGGAAAGGAGGCGTGATGTGATCCTAAGCAAATACCCACTCGAAGTACCTGCACCAAGGGGCTCAGCCGCCGGGTCCAGCAGCTCCGGGCCGTCCCAGCGCCCTGCTCCTGCTTTGCACCATGGCCTTGGGGTGGGTTTTAACCTTTTTTTATTATTTTTTTTCCTTTAACAGGAGGCTGTTTTGTCAGTGGCTGCCTCAGTGGAGGTTAGGTGGGACAGGGACCTAACCAGGAAAGGGGAAGACTTCTACCAGGTCCAGGACAGCGATTTGTATTGCAGGATGTGCCCCGCAGGTGAGACAGCCTCAAACATCCCAAAACAACATCCCAGCACACGACTCTGGCAGCAGAACCAGCTCTTGCTGCAAGGACATCCCCTCCCCGTGCTGTACAACCACTGATAAACCCTTTCTTCCTCCTCCTCTCCCCGCGTCCACCCCTTTTTTGCAGGCACCTACGTGGCAGAGCACTGTAAGGAACAAAACGGCTCCAGCACGTGCTTGCCGTGTGATGAAGACGGGTACATCGAATACCCCAATCGCTTCGACAAGTGCCTGCGCTGCTGGACGTGCAGGGAAGGTAGGAGCTGGTGTGCAGGAGGGCGATGCAGGTCCAGAGCGTGGCTTTGGCTGAGCACCGAGCTCTCCACGTGTAGAGCGCAGCCGCGGCATCGCGCTGCGGGTGCTGCAGGAGCAGGCTGCATCCCGAGCTGGTGTGGAGGCTCGTGCCAGCCCTGTGGCTCCGTTTGGGGCAGCATCCCCTCGGTGCAAGGCTGGGATGCGAGGACCATGAGGATCTGGGCTCGTGGCAGCACCCGTAGGCTGCTGGCGGGGCTTTTAAAGCGCTGCTTTTGGGCACGGCGCGGTGTGGGGTGGGGATGGGTAAAGCAGTGTCTGGTCTTCCACCCTGGTCTTCCCCGGGTCTGTGCGTGCTTTGCTGGGTTAGGGAACGGGGCAGAGAGCCCCAGCAGCAGGGTAGAGCCCGTTGGATTCTCACCCACAGACCAGGTGGAGCTGAGTCCCTGCAGTGCCACCAGGAACACGCAGTGCGCCTGCAGGAACGGCACCTTCTGCTCCCCGGACCACCCCTGCGAGATGTGCCAGAAGTGCCGCACCCGGTGAGCTGGGGGGCCTTGGGGAGGGGGTTTCAGGGTGCTGCGGGGAGCCCCAGCCCCTGAGCCTGCTCCCTCTCCCCTTTTCCAGGTGCCCCAGTGGGCAAGTGAAGATAGCTCCGTGCACGCCGCACAGCGACCTCCAGTGCGGCCCCCCCACGGGCTCCATCTCCGGCTCCTCCAGTAAGTTTGGGATGGCTGGAGGGATGGGGGGGGGAGGGCTGGAGGTGTGGGAGCTGCTGCCTCAACGTGCCCTGTGTCCCCAGCGATCACCATCATCATCCTCATCGTCGTGGCACTGGTTGTGGGTCTGCTGCTGGTCTTGCTGTGGAAGCGCTGCTGCAGGCACCCCGCTGCAGGTGAGGGGGGGGGGACCCGGGGTGCTGCCCCCAAATGGGGGCTCTGGGTGGGAAGGGGGACGTGCTTTGGGGCTGACGGCTCTGTTTTTCCTTCCAGGGGACAGCAGAGACCTGGGCAGAAAGTCAGGCCAAGTGGTGGTGAGTCGTGCTGGGGGCTCTGCTCGGTCCCTGCTTCGCTTGCAGCCCCCCCGGGAAGGCTGGGGGAGCGTGCAGGGGGCTGTGGCCGAGCAAAGCGGGGGTCTCCCGCGGCTCCCCCCCCCCCGGGGGCTGGTATCACCACCCCGGCTGGGAGTCTCCAGCTTGGCAGCTTTGTGTTTCTCTCCCCCCCAGCACTACCTGGTGCTGCAGCTGACCCGGATGCTTGCGGGGAGGGCTGGGGACGCGGACAACATCCGCAACGAGCACCTCTCCCAGGACCAGGAGCGGGGGCTGCTCCCTGCCGTGGGGGCTCCCGACGCCCCAGGGCTGGAGGTAGGGCACCGTGCCCCCCTGCTTGGCCGAGCTCTGAGCCTTTCCTTTACCTCCACCACGCTCATCAGCTCCAAGGCTTCCAGGGCAGGAAGGTTTCCATCCGAGGTGTCCGTCTTATCCTCATTCCGGGCCCCCAAAATCTCCTGTTTTAACACCCAACTCTGAGCAAACTTTTTCTTTTCCTGCCCTGGACCCGTGAGCTTGCTCTCCCCTGCTTTGGGCAATGCCGTGAAGTGATGGGTGTCCTGAGGGTGGGTGGCCATCTCCTGCCCCAAAACCCCCCCTGAAAAAGGGAGAGGGTCCCCAAACCCCCTGTTAACAGCACCTGGGGACGCTTGCTGGGTGCTGTAGGATTTCTCTTTTCAGGAGGTGGTAGCAAGGACCTCGGATCCCGCTGTGAAACCCCAAAAGATTTTGGTTCCAGTGCCAGGAGAAGACCCCGTTATCCGTAAGTGCTGGGGCCTGGGGGTGTGCCGAGCCTGTGGGTTCTCTGGGATGATCCCTGCCGCCCCCATATCCATGCCCTTCACATCCCCTGAGCTTTTTCCCTGCCTGCTTCCAGTTCTGCGCCGCTCTTTCCACGTCTTCGCCCGCGACGTGCCCTTCAAGGACTGGAAGAGGTACGGCCGAGCCCTCGACCTGCTGGAAAACGACCTGGCTCTGGCGGAGATGAACGACAAATACTCGCAGGAGCCCTTCTTCCAGATGCTCAACACCTGGCAGAACAGGCAGGGGATGAGCGCCTCCGTCAACACGCTGCTGGAGGCCCTGCACCGCATCGACCTGGGGGGCATAGCAGAGGACATCTCCTGCAAGCTGGTGCAGCAGGGCTCCTTCCAGTACCAAGTGAGCTGAGCAGCACCTTGGGACACGAATACCTCGAAGAACAGTTCCTTTTTTTTATTATTATTATTACTTTTTTATCGGGGCTCACAGCTCCTGAAGCCCCCTTGTACAGCTGAGCCTGCAGGAGCCGATCCTCTTGGGAATCCTCTTGGGATCCTCTTCGTGGCCTCCTCTGTCAGACCTCGGTGCCTTCCTCATGAAACCCAAGCTGGTGCCTTCGTTTCACACTCACTCAACACAAATGAGCCAAAAACTACTGCCAGCTGCCTTCAGGATTGTCTCACGGGGAAGCACTGCTTTTCTCTGGACCTCACGAGGCTCGGTGCCAAGCAGCATCTTTGCACAGTGCAGGCATCCCCTGGATTTTAACTGGATCGTCCTTTCCTGGGCTTTTTTTTTCCTCATTTTGGTGGGATTCCTGGCATCTGTAACGACTTCTGCTGGCAGAACATCTCAGAGGTGGCCAGCCTGCCTAACACTGCTCGGTGGGCTGGCAGCAGTTGGGTTCTTGGGTTATTTCTTAAAAGCTTTTTTTTTTTTTTTTTTTTACATTTTTTAGGCTGTAGCAGTTCTGCTTGTTGTTAGTAAACCCCAGACTGGACTCGAGGGGAGGGCTGGCTCTGTGGTCACCAATATAAAAAAAAAAAAAAAAGGTTGATGGAAGGAGCAGGAGGGAAAACAGCAAATTATCATCCTGAGAAACCCTCCTCTGTGCTCCGTGACCGTGGTTGGGGGGCTTGGATCTCCTTCCCCTGGCTCTGGGCGCTTGCTGGCCCCATCCACCTCGAGAGGTGACCACACCGAGCATCCTCCACCCCTCCTCCAGCTGGCTGGATCCCTCCCCAGGGACAAACACAGCTCAGGGACAACGTGGCTGGAAACCTGCAGGGTTTGAGCTGGCTTAAACGTGCAGCAGCCCAGCCCCTGGGGATCTGCCCGGGCGCAGGGGCAGCTCCAGCTCCTCTGCACCCCCCGACTCCGTCCTCCCCCCTCCCCAAAATTTGACAACTTTTTTAAAAACAAAAGAAATCTTCCCTCAAAAACACAAGCAGAACATTTGTATTTATGTATTTATTACAATTATTAGTAATTGTAAACGTGTTCATATATTAACTTAAAAGCTAATATAAAAATAGTATTGATTTTTTTTTTTAACTATGCATGATTGGGTGTTTTTGTACAGAGCTCTGGCCCAGCCAGCTCATCGCATCCAGATTTGTACAGGTTTATTTTATGAAGTAGGAATAAAATGTTTTTTTTAAAAAAATCCTCCTGTTTCCTCGTCTCTTGTTGCTGCTGCTCCGTTCGGGGTTTCAGCGGGCACCAAAGGAGCAGAGATGCCCTGCATGGGGCCAGGACATCTCGGGGCTCTGCCACATTGGGCACGGTCCCCGTGTCCCCAGCAGTGATGCTGGTGCCACTGGAAGTCCTCAGCAGCAAACCCAGGCTCCGAATTTCCACCCTGGCCACCGGCAGGAGCAGGAGGCTGAAATTTGGGTCCCCGGCGCAGGCAGGGGCGGCGCGCTGCCGTAGCTGTGGTGCACATCCATGCGGTGCTGGGTGAGGAAGGGGCTCTGCTCACCCCAAAAATCAACCCCGAGCTGCCCGCCAGCCTCCGCCTTCCCCCCGGAGGCTTTATCCACGTGCAGGTGGCTTCCCGAGGCAAGCGGCTGAAAGCAGGAGCTGCCGGGATGGGGAAGGGGACGGCAGCGGGGGCGCTTTGCTCCGGGGGTCCCAGCAAGGCAGCTCCAGGCTGGGCACCTCCCGCAGGACCCCAGGTGCAGGATTGGTGCTGGACGGGCGAGCACCCGCTTTAAAAAGGCTTTAAAAAGGGAAGAAAACTCATCCTACCTGCTGCAAAGCGCAATAGCGCGGAGCGTGCGCCCGCTGCGTCCGCTCCCGTGCTCCTACACCCAGGGCTGGGGACGAGCATCCAAAAGGAGCAGCTCCAAAAAGGGCAGCGGGGATGAGAGCAGCACCCAGGGGTGTCACTGCGTCCTCCCTACTGTCCCCTGCCAGGATGGGGACGGGAGCAGAGGTTTGGGTCCACCCAAGGGTGCCACCAAGCACCCGCCGTGCGATTTTGGGCACCTACAAGCGACACGGGTGGAGCAGGCGAGGTCAGTCCGATGCGAAGCCCCCGCTCCTCCTGCTTTTGGGGTGTTTGGGGTTGTTTGTTTTTTTTTGGATGCTGGATCCTGCGATGCTCCTGCGCCAGTTGCTTCCTCCCAAACACACAGGGACCACGCCGGGCTTTTAAAATACCATTTATTACAATGGAGCCGCCCAGGCTCCGAGCCCAAGCCATAGGGCCCGGGGGTGGTTTCTGGGGGTGAGTTTTGGTGTGTGTGTTTTTTGTTTTTTTTTTTTTTTTCGTGGTATTTTTTTGCTTTAGATTTTCTTTAAAAAATAAAATAGAAGTCTGCTCTCTGCGCTGCTGCGGGCCAAGCCCCCGTGGGGAGGTGCGGGGAGGAGAGGGCTCCTTTTTTCCCCAAAGCTCCCCGCACGGGGACAGCCCCCGCAGGGGAACGGAGGGGGACACCTTGTGGGATCAGCCCTGGTGCAGCCCAGAGGGGTTTGAGGATCCTGTGGGATCAGCCCAGAGGGGTTTGGGGCCGGGATCCCACCTCGCCCCGCTGCAAGTCCAAGGGGCGTCGAGGCGGCGTCCCCCAAAACCACCCCGAGCCCGCAGCTTCTGCTTCAGAACTAAAAGTGGAACGGGGACGGGTTTCTTCTTCTTCCTCATGCGGTCGATGTTCGAAAGAAAGGAAAAAAAAAAGAAAAAAGGAAAACCCAAGACAACCCTTGTGCTCCTGTAAACGTGGGTTTCTCCTGCTGCTCCGGGCCAGTCCTGCGGCGCTGGCGCTGCGGCGTGGGGGCGCCCCGCTCCGTCTCCCCGGGGTGCCAGCTGGGGGCACCCGCCTGGCGCTGGGGCAGCTCATCCCACCCTTCGTCCTCCTCCTCCTCCTCCTCCTCCTTCTCCTCTTCCCCATCCGTCTCCTGGAGCCAGGGCAAGGACGGGCGCTCTCAAACCACAGCCGAGGAGGAGGAGGAGGAGGAAGAAGAGGAGGCTGTGGCTGCCGACGACGAAGGAGAGGAGGAAGGGGAGGAGGAGGCGTTCCAGAAGAGCCACCGCCTCTTGGGCTGCCGTTTGAGGTGGAGGTAGTCTTCCTTCTCCCGCTCCTTCCTCGCCCGCTGGTAGTGATCCTCCTCCTTCAGGTACCACACCGGCGGCCAGCGGTGCTTCTCGAAGTACTCCTGGTTCTCTGCGGGGACACGGGGGTCAGCCCCGTGCCCCGAGGAGGGGGACAGGGACGGGATGGGGACCCCACCAACCCCTCCCCAACGCTCACCTCCCGACATGGCCTTCATGTCGCGGGGGAATTTGCGGCAGACGTTGTTGTAGTTGGTGCAGATGTGGTGCAGGCACCAGTCGGCGAGCTGGTAGGCGCAGTGGAACTGGAGACGGGAGCAGGCGTCACCAAAACGCACGGATTTACCCCGTTACCCCCCCAAACCTTGGCATTAAGGGATCAGCCCCTCTCTGCCACAGCAGTGCCACCTCTCCCACCACCAGGTCCCCTCCGTGCCACCCTACCTGTGCCAGCTCCAGGAACACCAGCACGTCCCCATCGATGTCCACCATCATCTGCGCCGCCTCCATCAGGCCGGTGACGGTGTACTGCTCTGTGGGGCGCACGGCGGGGTCAGGGCACGGCCCTAAAGCACCCGGGATGTCCCCCAGCTTTTTTTTTTTTGGGAAAGGGACAGCGACTCACCGGTGAGAGCCACCAGGTGGGGCAGGCAGAGGCGGTTGGCCAGGATGATGAGCTTCATGTCGTCGAGGTCGGGGCTGGAGCTGAATTGCCCGGTGTAGAGGTACTCCAGCACGGCCCGCATGCAGCTCTTGCTGGTGTAAGGAAGCGCCACCTGCGAGGTGCCCACCCAAACGTCACCCCACGGCCGTCCCCAGCCATCCCCAAGCCTCCCCCACAAGGGGAAAATCCTCGGGGTCTTCCTCACCTCGTTGGTGGAGCTCTCCACGAAGGGGCCGCCGAACATCGCGGCCATCCAGTCGCAGCTGGAGATGAGCAGGGGCTTGTGGGCACTGATAGCACCGTCATCCAGCACGAAGGTGACATCTGGAGCAAGGAGAAGGAAAAAAAAACCCCGGTCACCACCAGCTTGGTCATCTCCACACAGCAAAAAACACCTCTCCCCAGAGGGAACGGGAGGAAAAAAATAACAAAATTAATCTTGAGGGCAAGGGACAGGATGTGCCAGACCGGGCTTGTTTGTTTTTCAGCATCCTCCGCCAGCTCGGGGGAACTCAGGAAGGGCTCCGGCAGCCAGGGCACCGTGCACGGCTCTGGCCCAGGGGTTTTCCCGTGACACGTTTAAAAGCAAAGGGCAAAAATCCTGGCGTTGAATGCTTCGCTCGATTTCTGCAGATTGAGCTCTTGGGAATATCGGAAAGGACAATGGGGACAGCTGTCCCCTCCTCTAATCTCTCCTGGACAAAGGTTTCTCCCCGGGGAAACACAGCCCCTCGCCGTGATGCCTTGACCTCGGCAAGGTCCCTCTGCATGAACCCAACCCATCCGGAGAGAGGCTGGGATGTTTGCACCCCCGGGATGTTGTTTGCACCCCCGGGATGTTGTTTGCACCCCCGGGATGTCACCTGGAAGCCACCAACCCCACCCTGCAGCATCACGGCACAGCCTGGTGCCACCACGCTGGGTGGAAAGCTGTGGCTGGGGAAACCCTACAAGAATCCAGTGACCCTACCAAAAATCTGGGCCAAGGAGGAGAGGAAATCCCCAAAACACCAAGCCCGTAGTTGAACATATCCCAAAACCCTGGGGAAGGCGAGCGCCGGGTGCTCCACAGCACGGGCACGGGGCAGAGCCCCCCGCGAGGGCGACGGGGTGCGGACGGAGGCGTACCCGAAAAAGTCCCCTTGGCCAGGCATTCCTTCACCCGGTTGGTCCTCCGGACGTGGAAGGCTTTGGTGATCTCCTGGTTCATGAACGCCTCGTTGTTGAGGATGTTGGCCACCATCATGCGGAGGTCGAACACCTCGAGGAGCTCGGCGATGTGCGCGATGTGCATCAGGTCGCGCTCCTTCTCGTCCAGCTCCCCGGTGTACAGGTACTTCAGCACGGCCCGGAAAGGTCCCGGCTGGATGGAAGCGTCCATCTTCACCACCACCATCAGCTTGGATTTGTAGGTCAGCGGATCCTCCGCCATCTCCTCCTGGATGCTGATGAAGGCCCGGCTCCACGAGGAGAGGTCCCGGCCCCGCTTCAACCCGCGCTCCCCGGTCTCGTAGCGTTTCCCCCGCAGGATCCCGTCACTGGTGGAGGCTCTAAGGCACGGTTTGCGCTGGCTGGACCCAGCCTCCTCGGCGCTCTCGCAGATATCAAAGCTGGCGGCCCGGAGGAGGAAATCTCGCCCGTGGTGCCTCTCCTCTTGGTGCAGCATCCGCTCGGCCGCCGCGGTGACGGCCACCCCGAAGCCGTGCCCCGCGGCGCTCTGCTGGTCCTCCTCGCTCAGGTCCATGAGGAACAGGTCGTAGAACTTGGAGGAGGAGGTGGAGAGGTAGATCTTGTGTGCGTAGATTTTGATCTTCTCTTGCAGCACCAGGATGACGTCCGCGCACAGGGGGTCCTCCAGGAGGTGAGCCGGGCGCTCCTCGTTGTTGGACGGGGGGTCCGGCACCACGATGATGGGCGGGGGGGGTTTGGGGGGCAAGAAGGGGGCTTGGAGCAGTGGGCGCTGGACGTTGCGGAGGTGGGACTTCCAGAACTGCAGGTGGCGGCGGGAGATGAGGGCGGCGCGGATGGCGTTGTCGAAGACGTCCTTGATGCCAAACTGCGCCACCACGCTCGTCTCGTAGTAGGGGATCCCCAGCTCCTTGGCCACCTCCCTCCCCTTCTCCGGGGGAAGGATCTCGTTGGGTTTGATGGGCCTGGAGAAAGAGAGAACCAAGAGATCTCTCCAGTTGCGTGGTCATGGAGAAAGGGGCTTGGGGAGGGGGCACGGGCACCATCGGGAGTGGTGGTCCCACCTGGCCAAGGGGCGCCGTGCCCGGTTGACGGCCTCCAGGTCGGCGTAGCGCAGGTCGAGCTGGCAGCCCACCAGGATGACGGGGGCGCGGGGGCAGAAGTGCTTGATCTCTGGGTACCACATGGTCTTCACGTGGTGCAGGGAGTTGGGGTTGGCGATGGAGAAGCACAAAACCACCACGTCGGACCTGCAAGGAGGAGGAAGAGGAGGAGGAAGAGAAGGTCACGGTGGAGCCAACCCCAGCGCCTTTTTCCCTCCTCGCCACGGCTCTGCCCGTGCCCTACCTGCCATAGGCGAAGCGCCTGTCCTTGTGGTGGTCACCGAAGGTGTCCCAGAGCCGCAAGGACACGCTAACATCATCTACCACATCCCGCGAGCGCTCCAGCACCTGCGGGAAGAAAAACCCCGTGAGCCCCGCGGCGAGGCCAAAGCGCTCCGCTGAGAGGACGCCCACCAAAATCCCACCAAATAAAACCAAACCAAACCAAAAAAAAAAAACCTTTCCAAGGGGGTCCCCATGCCCTGGGGCAGCCCTCACCTCCTGGCACACGCGGTACTGGTCGATGGCCCACACCGTGGGCACGTGGGTGGCGAGGAGCTGGTACTGGGTGAGCGTGGCGTTGCAGGCGCGGGCACAGATGAGCCGGGTCTTGCCCACGGCGTTGTCCCCGACCACGACGCACTTGATAGTTTCTACGTTTGGCCTCTCATAATCCATGTCAGAATCCATTAATTGGGACCTGGGGGGAGGAAAAACGGGCTCAGCTAACGCAGCCGGGATAACGAAGGGGGTAAAACACCAACGATGCTCGCGGCCACCAGCCCCGAGGAGCTTGGTGAGCGAGCGGAGCCGCGGTGAGCACCAGCAGGCAGCTGCCCTCCCCTCCCTGCACACGCTCCTGCCCTTCCCCTTTAAAATTTAATGTTCCCGTGGCAGCGTGCGTTGCTGTGCCGCGCGTCAGACACATGCCCTGCGTTGCGTTCGGCCCCCCCCCCTCCCTCTCCCTCCTCTCCGTCTCTCCGGCCCTGGCTCATGCTTGTTCATGTGAGATGAGGATTTTTTTTATTTTTTTTTTTCCTCCTCTCCCTTCTTCCCTTTTCTCCCTCTCCGGCGTTCGCAAGCGAAGCTTCCAGATGGGAGCACGCACAGCAGCACCGCCAGCCTCTCCCGCTGCCTCCCAGCACCGGGCTCTGCCCCCAGCACCATCCTGCCCCCCTCCCTTTTTTTTTTTCCTCCCTGCTCCCAGGGGAGCTCTTTGGTCCTGAGCAGCAAAGCACAAGAGGCTCCTGACGTCTGCAGGAGCCGGGCAGGCTCCCAGCATCGCTGCCCTCCCAGGACCAGGTGCAATCCGAAACCTCCCCAGAGGGAGCTTGGAGCTCTGGGTGCTGCAAAGGTGATTCAAAGCGCCCTTATCCTGTGGGCACACACATCCAGGAGCAGCACCCTTTGCCTGCTCCAAGCCCCAGGGCAGGCCAGGGTCTAAATCAACCAAAATTAACTCATTGCAGCATTAAAGCTTGGAATAGAGGAGATTTCCAGGTGGGAGGTCGAGGGATGGGGAGAAAAAAATTAAAAACCAACACCAAATTGCTCTGAACTTTGCAAAGCAGCAGCTCTCTCCCCCCTTATCACCCCCTCCTGGCACGGGCCTCCCGAGCTGCTATAATAAACCACGGGCGCACAGGCTCAGCGAGCGAAAATACCCGGTAACGATGGCAACCCAGCCCCGCGCGCGGGGACCACGGACGCAGCTCCCCGGGGGAGAGCAGCGTGGCAAGGACTTTCCAATGTTAGCACCTCCCTCCTGTGCGCAAGCTCGGGAGCACACCTGGATGCACGAGCCCCCCGGGACGCGGCACGGCGCAGGATCGGGTCCCCGAGCCCCGCGGGCGAGCGGTGGCGATGGCACGGTGGCACCGAGCCACCTTGCTTTGGGTGCCAGTGCTTAGCCCCAAGGCAAAAACTTCTCCAAACGCTCCTCGCCCGCAAGCCACATCCTTTCCGCCCTCTGGGGAAGGGTGTTGAGTTGCTTGGGGTCTGCACAGCACGGCAAAAAGGTGCAAGGGCAGCTCGCCTGCTGCCCCAAAAGCCCCAGGAGATGCGTTCCCATCTCCTGCACCACCAATCCCAGGTCCCCAGCTCCTCCCGAGCAGCGGTTTTGGCTCCTCTGTAGGTTGAGGAGGTCCCCGGGGGGTTGTTGGTGCTCGGGGAGCTTTGCGGTGCTTATTTTTAGGGCTCCTAATTCAGCCCAGCTCATTCAAGCAGTGCGGGGAGGGGAGAAGGCACGTGGGGATGACAACTGCGGCCTCGGAGCTCCGGCTTTTTGGATACCTGCCCCCTGCGGTGGGCTCAAACCAGGGGGATTCGGGACCCTGCTCGGAAAGCCCAGAGCCCCCGAGGGAATTCAGGGCTAAATCCTGCCCGGATCAGTGCCTGCAGCGAGGAGAAGGGAGGGAGGGAGAGGGGGAAGGCAGCGGGCACGAGATGCGGGCTCCGAATAAAGCAGAAGCACGCTGGGGAACTCGGGCAGCCCTGTGGGGGTGGCACACAGCCCCCCACCCCCGGGACATCACCCCAGGGGGGTGCTGAGCCTCTGTGCAGGGCCAATGGCAGCAGCAGGATGCCACCACCTCGGTGCTCCCCCCAAAAAAACCCTGCTCGGCCTCTCCAGAGAGCAAAAAGGGAGGCTGGATGCCGACACATCGGGGCTGCCCCTTGCAAAAACCCTTCCCTAGAGGGCAGGGATGCTCCGGCCGGGCCCCCCACCCCAAAACGCATCCCCCCACCCCTCCCGGAGGGGAACCCAAAATTGCTTTTTGCAGCCCGCGGTTGCCACGGCAACTGCACCATCACCCCGGGAGCCGTCGCTTAGCAACTCCCAGGCTAAAAATCCTCCATCCCGGCCTCGCCAGGGGAGGAGAGCCCCTGGAACTGGGGGGGGGGACGCGCCCCGGAACGGTGGCAGTGCACGAAAACACCCCGGGACCCCCCCGGGGATGGGGGGCGAGCAGGGCCCAGGGGGCTGCACAGGCCACGGCTGGGAGCGGGGGCACCGGGGGCGGTTTTGGGGTGTTGTAAAAGGGCTGGGGGCGCCCGGAGCACCCAGGAAGGGGCTGGGGGGCATGGCAAAAGGGGTCGGGGGGGGGCTCGGAGCTGCAGGATGAGGGTGGGGGGTGTTGCAAAAGGGGACGGGGAGCAGCGAGGCTGGGGAGCAAAGGGGTCGGGGGGCACCGGGGGTGGTTTGGGGGCGGCGTAAAGGGGTTGGGGGCGCTGGGAGCAGCCGGGAGGGGGCGCGGGGGGCATGGCAAAGGGGTCGTACCCCCCCCTACTGTCCGAGGAGGGATGGGGGGGGGGGGCTGGGTACTTACACCAACACAGACGAAGCGGCGGCTCCCAGGGGCCGGGGCCGGGCTCGCCCCTCCGGACATGGTCAGGGCGCAAATTGCGCGCTCGGCTTGCGCGCGCCCCCGCGCTGCGCTGCGCGTTTTAGGGCCCATGGCGGCGCGGGGGCCGCCCGGCTCTCCGCATCCGCGGCCCCCCGCACGAAAAGCCCCCAGGCAGCCCCTTCCTGAGCGCAAAACCCTGCGCGCAACCCCCCCTGCGCGCACCGGCCCTGCGCGCAAAATCGCCTGCGCTGCGCTGCGCCGGGCGTTGCGCGCTGCGCTCGGGGCCGCGCCGCCGTTCATTCACAAAAACAAGCCGCCCCCCCGAGGCCACGCCCCCCTGCCCCCCCCCGCAGCTTCCCATTGGCTGAGAGGGAGCCCGGGGGGGGGGCGTGAAAATGAATGGGGGGGGCTCCGAGTGGGGTTCCAGGCTGCGGCTGAGCGCCCCCCCCCGGGAAAGGGTGCGGAGGGATCTCGGCTGGCAGGCGTCGTGTGCCTGCGGGGGGGCCTGTCCTGACCCTAAATCCCCCCCCACAGGGCCCCATCCTGTCCCTAAGCATCCCCCCATTTGGCCCCATCCTGCCCCAAACCCCTCCATGGGGCCCCATTCTGGCCCTAAGCACCCCCCCATGAGGTCCCATCCTGCCCCAAACCCCCCCCATGAGGTCCCACCCTACCCATAACCCCTCTATGGGGCCCCATCCTACCCCTAATCCCTCTTTGGGACCCCATCCTGTTCCTAAGCCCCCTTCCATGGGGTCCCATCCTGCCCCTAACATCTCCATGGACCCTATCCTGACCCTAAGCCCCCCTCCATGGGGCCCCATCCTGCCCCAACCCCCCCCATGAGGTCCCATCCTGCCCCTAACCCCTCTATGTGACCCCATACTGCCCCAGCCCTCTCCATGGGACCCCATCCTGTCCCTAAACCCCTTTCCATGGGGTCCCATCCTGCCCCCATCATCTCTTGCACCCTCCCCCTGCACCCCACCTCCATCCTCCCCCTGCTCCTTGCGGCCCCCCCAGCACCTCTCCCTGCCCCCCGGGCACATGAGCACCCCTTCCTCTGACCCCCTTTCCCCCTCCCCTTGCTGCACTGGGATCGGGACACCAAAATTTGGGGAACACTCAGGGTCTGCAGAGGGGACCCCTTGGCGGCGCAGGGGCAGAAGCGCGGTGCCTTGACACCCCCTAGAGCCCCCCTAAAAATCCCCTGCTCCCCGATCCCAGGCCTCACCCCGCACCACTGCCTTCCTACCGCCCCCTCCTTCACCCCCAGCCCCAAATCTGCGGGGCGGAATAAAACCAAAACCCCAGAGTCATCTTTGCAGCGGGGCTGCCGGGAAGGCTGGCGGTGCCCTGACCCCGTATATCCGCATCATGTGATGCCTCGCCATCCTCCCCGGAGCCTTTCGGCTGCCTTTTTTCCCCCCCCCTCGCCTTCACAGAACCATTCTCTGTCCCCCCCTGGCCCCGTTATTCCCCCTTGCCTTGGGCCAAGGCCAAAAATCCCAAATCCAACCAAAATCCCTGCGCCCACCCCGCACCTTCGCCGCCGTCCCCCCCCCTCCCTCCCCAAACGGCGTCGCCTCACCCAACTCGCAGCACGGCGGGGATCTCCCTCTCCATAGCAGAAAGGAGACGGGGTGGCTTTTTGGGGGAAGGGGGGGCCCTTCGCCACCTTTTTTTGGGGGCATGGGCGAGCCGAGCTCCTTCTATCCCCCCCCCGCCCCCCAAAGCTTTTCGCCTCCCTTCTCCTGGCTCACGGGGAAGGCGCCCGGCGAGCTCGTTTTGGTTTATTTGCTCTCTCGGAGCAGGTGCTTTAATTGTGGCAGGAAAAAAAAAATAATAAATTCCTGGCTTTCCGGGCAGCCCCGTTCCCAAAGGAACCCCCCCTCTTTTTTTTTTTTTTTCCCTCCCTCCTTCCCTTTTATGCAAAACAAAAGCACGATTGTGGCTGCCGGGCGAAACACCCACAGCCTCCCAGGTCCTGGCCTCTCTCCTGGCAGGAGGCTGCGCTGGGAGGCACCGGGGAGGGGATGGGGACGGGGGCCTGGAGCCCCCCCTCTCTGCTGCAGACCCCCAAAGAAGGCAGGGAGCAGGACCCCGTGGCTTGGGGACATTTCCCGTGGTGGCTTGGGGATGTTTCCTGTGGCTAGGGGATGGTTTTTTATGGCTAGGGGATTTTTTTGTGGCTCAGGGATGGTTTTTGTGGCTCACACCATTCCCAGGTGGGGTCAAAGGACCCCAACTCGCTGCTCTCTGCACCCCATCGCTGCCCCCATCTGCTCTCCCCCCCTTGCTGTTGCTGTAATTAAAACTTTTCCCATTTCAGCCCCTGGCTTCCTAATCACCC